CTAGACGCCCTGGAAAGCCTAGGAAATCAATTACGGTTCGTGACGACTCTGTCATAATCATGAACCTTATCGACAACCCCGACCTTCCTCTCAGTATGCAGGAGAAAAATGATAGGATGCTCTGGGTAGAATTGAACAAGAGGCTTGAACTCCCTAGAATAGAGCCTTTGACGGTCACATGGCTCACTTGGGGGAATTACTCTAACCACCAAAACCACCCGAGTCTGCTTCGTGTTACACTTAAGAATGCCTCCGACGTAGAGGACGTCCTGCTAGCCAGTCACTTACTGAAGTCCGATGGGAACGTACGAATACTGCCAGACATACCGTATTCTGAACGAAATCTCATCCGGAACATCCCTAAGGAATCTCGCGAGGCGTTTTTCCGTGGACGAAATATCATTGTGCAAGGTGTGCCGGAAAATATGGACCCAACTCAAGCAAACTCTGATATTCGGGAATGGAAATTCATTACATTCCTTAAAACTCAAAAAAATACTGACCCAACAGGTGATGCGACTAGCCAAGAAAGACGGATACTCTAGACCCCAGCTATTCAAGATAATCTTCCCCTCCTCCCACATGGCGGCTGCAACTCTGGAAGCATTTCGCGCTAATAGACGTCTGTTGCCAACTGGCATCCATATGCATCCGGATAGGCCCCACGACAGCAGGATCAAACACAAGGGAATGCTGGAGCTGAAAATTCCACTCGTGGACTGTCTTGATCATTAAAAAAAGGGGAAAAGAACAGTGACTACCAACTCGGTAAACATCGTATAGGTAGGCTACCTGTCCACTCACGCACGGCTCATATAGACAAACAGGAAGAAGCTCACGCGTTCCAAACTGAAAGCATAAACTGCCTATACACGAACGCCGCGAACTTGCCAAACAAAATGGATGAGCTACGTGAACTTAGCAACGCTAATGATGCTCATCTGATAGGAATATCCGAAACTTGGATAACGTCTCAGTTTATGAACCAGGAGTTAGCAATAACTGGGATGTCGTTATTTCGCAGCGACAGAAAAACAGGAATGGGGGGTGGAGTAGCATTATACATACGGTCATGCCTGGATGCGCACCAACTTCTCAACCAAGAGTTTCTCAATCTTGATGAGTCAGTATGGTGCTCAGTAAGATTGTCTACCACCGCGAGGTGTCTAGTTGGGGTCATTTACAGGAAGCCCACTGCCGACATCGAGTATGACAAACGTCTGCTGGAAGGATTAACTCGCTCTACGCGTCTCGGATTCTAGGGGACTTCAATCTCCCTAGAATCAACTTCGTGGAACATACATACATTGGTGGTGCCAACTCTACTGAAGCTCTGTTCTTCAACCTTATCGGCGACCTGGGATTATTCGAAAATGTGAAGTCGGAAGCCCGTTGGAGAAACAGTCAGACGACTGGGTATTCACAAATGAATAATTCCTAGTTGACGACCTCTCAATCCTGGCTTCGCTGGGGAAAAGTGATCACGCCGTCTTATCATTCAGCTTTGTCAGCAAAACGGAGCTAAGATATCCTACTAGCAACAAGCGCTGGAACTTCAAACGGTTGAATGTGTTGGCTTTACAGGACTATCTACAACAGGTGGATTGGGATGTTCACCCTCAACTTGAAGTGGATGCTCATTGGGATTTTTTACTACACACGATCTTATGTGCTACTGAGCATTCAGTTCCTAAAATGGTCCCAAAAAGCTACAAGCAACCCCCAATCATCAAGAACCGCACTCGTCGTTTGCTAAACCGCAAAAGGCACTATTGGGCTGAATATAAACGAATTGATACCAACGGCGCGTACAGGCAATACAAACATATAAGGAACATATGCACAAAGGCGATAAGAGAAGACAGGCTTCAGTTCCAGACCAAGCTTATCGATAAATTTGTCTCCAATCCGAAGAGCTTATTCCGTTACGCAGCTTCTCTTCGACAAGGCAAAACTGGAGTTTCCCAACTGCTTAGTCCTAATGGCCCGACCAATAACGACTGTCATGCCGCTAACCTTTTGGCTGAACAATACTCCAGGACATTCCAGCTGACCCACATCAACCATACTGACGAAAGCTTCACCCGCACCTCTACAGGACTTTCCGAAATAAACCTGAGTGCTGACCTGGTGCTCCGTAAACTGCAGCACCTAAGAAAAGACACTTCTCCCGGTCCGGATATGGTTCATTCCTCTGTATTGAGGGAAGCAGCTTCAATCCTGGCGACACCACTTAGCGTGATGTTTTCACACTCGCTAAGCAGAGGCAAACTACCGGAAATTTGGAAGCTGACTCACATCACCCCAATTTTCGAAGGAGGTCGACGCAGTGTACCCTCAAGCTACCGACCAGTGGCCCTTCTCTCCATACCTTCCAAAATTATGGAATCTCTAATATACGACGGTATGCAAGAATACTCATCATCCTTAAAGTTCTTCTCATCTCAACAGCATGGTTTCAGAAAAGGTCATTCTTGTATGACCAACCTGCTGACTGCGGTGGATAGATGGACAACCATCCTTGATCGCAAGGGGAAGGTTGACGTCATTTACCTGGATTTCTCAAAAGCTTTCGATAGGGTCAATCACACATGTCTTATCAATAAGCTTAGACGATTGGGTATCAAACCTTTTTTGGTTGACTAGCTCACTTCATACCTAGAAAACCGACACTTTAAGGTCAGGGTTAACTTCACTCTCTCTCAGGCTATGGAATATCCTAGTGAGGTTCCCCAGGGCTTAATACTAGGAGCTCTTCTCTTCTTGATTTACATTAACGATCTTCCTCAACAAGTTTCATCTAACTTATTGCTTTAAGCTGATGATGTGAAACAACGGACTTACATTCAACACTTCAAAGTGCAAGGTAGTCCATCTGAGACATGTTGCAGACTATAGTTATAACCCAGGTAACTCCACTCTGGAAGTTTTCCAAGTTGAAAAAGATTTAGGAGTGTTGGTACCCTACGACCTGAAGTCGTATAAGAAATGTGACAGAAACGCCTTTCAAACAAACCTTGCACTGGTAACATTGGAGCGCATTTTTGGCCAGTTTGACGGTAGAACCTTCCACATAATCTTCAACAGTTTTATTCGTCCCCATTTAGAGTATGGAAACATAGTATTTCCTCCCTCCCTCCAAAAGGATAAGGACACTCTGGAACACATCCAACGTCGAGTCACGAAATCAGTTCGGGGACTCAAATTCAAACCTTACGAAGAGCGCCTCCAATCACTTAACCTTTACCCGTTAGAGTACAGGCGTCTTAGAGGTGACCTTCTTATAACTTACAGTATCATTAGTTCTTCTGGCCATCCCCTTAAACATCTTCTTAAACTTAGTCACAACACTAACCTAAGAGGTAAAACCCAGAAACTGGAGACCCAACATAGCAGAACAGGCTGCAGACACAACTTCTACTCCGTAAGAGTTGTCAAATACTGGAATTCGCTGCCGACTGAGCTAGTTCAAGCGACCTCCCAAGAGTCCTTTAAGAGGAAACTTGACTTATTCTTAAAGACTAAGTATAAGTTATTATGATTTACTAAATTCATTTTTTTCGTCTATTATCGTTCATATACCTAGGTTTTTGCCTGGAGGTATTGGTGATCCACTGCTACCAGACACGGAAGCCCGTTAAGCGAAAGCTTCTTCTATTCCGTCCACAACCATTTGAAGTAATCAGAATCCGTCATACTGAACCATTTCAGTATTGCGTCCAAGATTTATTTGATGTTGTTATTCATTTGCAAATTTCCGAAGTAAAATTTTAAAAATTGCTCTTTCGCCAAATAATTTCTGAGAATGTAGTATCCGTAACAGTTACATACGTCATTCACATTCCAATTGGTAAAGCTATCAATAGCTTTTTAAGGGAGGAGTCTATGGATAGTAACAATAGACAAATTGGTCATCACCTCAATCACATGTGAAATGCACCCAACGCGTAGGAGGCTCTTCAACGTTCGTATATAAAACATGGAGTAATCATCCTGGGGTTGCTAAAAGTCTTTATAAAACACACTCAGAATTGACTTGATGTTCACAATGTTCTCGCTCTCCCACTATTGAAAAAGAAATTAATCCCTTATGCAGAGTACAGAGATGGGGAACAAAGTGAGTGACCAGCTAAATAATATATTCTACGAAGAAAGGGTACAACACCTGAGATTATTCTCTCTGAGCTTTAAGTGGATAAGAGGTAGTTTGATTGTAGCGTGTAGCATAACAAGTACGCTTCCATCATTTCTAGTCGGTAGGTTCAGCGTATTGAATGCGGTTTGTCTCAATTATCGTACATACGTCAACAAAGACAGAGTGGTCGGTAACCAATAAGACCACATTACCACCTTTAGTCCATTATTTCATTTACTCTCATTATTGACGGTTCCTGTAAAATCACATTGGCAGATTTAATATAAGCAGACAATGAGGTGATCCGAATGTCCGTAAAAGGTGAGATCGGTCCACTTGTGTTTTGACTGCATCGACCATGTCACATCCATGTCACAATCACGCTCCCCATGGTTACACCCGTGAGACTTCACTTCAAGGAGCGGAAGTACAGATACGCTCTCACTTTTCCTTATTAAGAGTCGCTACGCTTGGAATGTTCTTCCAGTCGAAGTGACAAAAGCCCCATATTTCCAATCAATTAACTTATTTGTTATACTTGGAACGGTCGTATCCTCCTAGCAATCAAATCATCACCTTACTACCTAAACATGCCAATCAATCAACCTCCTGTCTGATAACGTGATAGCTGCTGGTATCAAAGAAACATATCCACTCCCTTAAACGACAAGATATACCAATCCACAAATAACTACCAATGTGACTAGAATTAGTGCAATCGAGTGACTAAATCACAAGACATGAAACATTTGTAAATACATATAACTGTACTGGAAGTATAGGAAGCGAGGGCAAGGAAATCGGTTGGTTTTTAATAAGCTCGTGATAAAAATATTCAATGTTGCAACCAAATGGAGGTAGTATTGAGTTGATTCGTTACATCGTTTTGCTATACTTCTGACTGTACGTACATTCAAAAAGATAGCCAATTTGACTTTCAAATTTATGTGATTATAGATGATCTTGCCGAAGTTCAGCTAACGGTGTTTACGTTCCATGTTTTGCACTGTAAACTATTTAACTTTGACAGCGAGTCGGCTTATTTCACTTTTCGATCGAATGCTTATCACCCTCACACGACCGGTAGTGATTTTTATGATACGTAAGGGAAAACAATATTAAAACTCGTTCTTCTACAGAGGTTCCAGTTATCATTACAGCTTACTTCATTCACCTAGCTAGAATTTGAACCATTTGAATTCAGGTTTATTATCATAAGTGTCCTGATGATTCTTTTTAATTTACTATGTATTATTGGTCACATTAAAAATTTCTATTGCTTTCTTTATACACACTTTTCTTACGCACATACACTTTCGCTCATAAATATTTAATTCTAGAACTGGATCAGTATCTATTCCTCAGTAATGATTGGTCTTGTAAACCATCCATAAATATCAATGAAATTTTTTTTATTTGTGCACGTTTTTTGACCATTCTTTTGCATGCTGTGTTCCCCATTCTCTTTCTTATCATTATGTTTGTTAATGCTTACATAGGCACCTAGCTTCCCAAATATTTGTTATATTTATGTATTTCGATTTCATCATTGGTATCGACATAGTTATTAAAAATGATGGTTATGTCTTGTTAACTCGTGTAAAACACTGAGATACGCATTCAGGATTATTTAACCTTAAGCCCCATATTGTCGCTTCAAAAAGTGATTTTAATGGCTTCTGGGATGTTAACCTGACCTTTTCAATATGTTTATTTTAGTAAGTGGAATTAAATATAGAGATTGGTAAAAGTGTATGTAATCGCGGTTTGTCATATCACATTAACATGAGACGAAATTAGCAAGAAAAACAGTAAAGGGGTGGAAAGAGTGTAGTAGCAGTGATAATGAGAAAATAGTTTGAGATAATAAAAAGGTGTGTATCAAGGGCATACTCGAACTCCAAATATAGGATTGATACGTTTAGGTTATTCGGACCGCTCTAGAAACTTTTCGCTCCTAGTTCTTGGCCAGTGATTGGTGACCTTAACCTTATGGTTTACACTTATCAACATGTTTCAGATCAATCGTGTGGTTGCTCCTAGCTTACTGTCGACCTCCTTCCATACCAGGTAGTCGTTCATCGGAGTATAGGTTGATTCAGTAGAGGTAATGTGTTCTAAACATCTCAATCGATGGGGACTCACAACCTCAGCCAATTTATAATTGTTGCCAAATACCGTAACTCAGGATTGCTTTTGGTCGTTCCACGTAACACGAGCAGTGGTTTAGAGGTATCTATGTTCAAACAGTAGCAACCTACGAATATCGTCTATTTCCAAAAACCACGTTTCACAGACATAAAGTAGAATAATATATAATATACTTGTTCTTTGGCTCGCAGATGGAAATCTATCTGAACTCGCAAATTAGGCAAAAAATTGAGCTTTCTAAATCTTTGCCCAAATTTTGTCGTTGAGAAGAAAAGTGGATAACGAGTTTAATTGTTTCACTTTCTGCCACCAGTTTAGGCATGAAGATTTAAATTTTTTAGATCAAGATTACTTTATACCTTTTTTTCTACAAACTATTTCTTTTTTGCTGTATCATTTCCTTATATCCAATATTTATTTATATGTATTACTACTATTGAAGTTACTGCTTCTATGAATTCGTTGTGCTAATGCAGAATAGCAACTTGGACTGATGCATATATGTGCCTGGAATAATGTTGTAGATGTCTGCTTGACGACCAGTCCCGAAAAAAAACTTCAAATTTGAAGCGAGTGAAACGCTTTCATGAACACGCTTGCATTTGTGCTCAGAGAGATTAGAGGGATAACATTTTTCAGCGTTCTCACCAAACAACTATGTCTGCGCGTTTTAAATCGATAAATGGGTCTTCTGGCAAAGAATCAACACCCAAATTTAGATATACTTGTTTCCACTTCTCTCACGCGATGGTTCAACCATATCAATGCACGCAAACTTATTTAGGTACCTAAGTTTTATTTATGTGACTAGTCTTTTGGGATCTTAATAAACTGATGTGCCTTCTATACTCCGACATGGTTTTACTCGTCCTCTACGTATAGGTTACCATTATCTACGTCTGACAGCTTTTCATCTTGTCTCGATTTCCGTATTCGTCTTCATGAAATACATACGAGATACCGCAAACTCTAGACTGTGGAACCACTTCTGACTTCAAGTAGTAGGGTACAAAATAATAATATGGCACTTCAACATAAGTACTGGGAATCTTGACATGGGTCACATAGATCTGCCCTTCCAGCTTATCTAGCTCATAAAATTTATTTGGTATTTAGATTTCTCGAAACCTGAATGTCATCCTTTTAATTTTTCGAGGGAGCTTTAATTACGTTTTTGAATGTATTGGTCCCAGTATGTTTCTATAATTGACACTCACATGAATAATAATTCAACATTTCAGATGGCGTTGTATGGTGCTCCGTTTCCCAGATATGTAGTTTATACAGATGAGTTACGTGATGCCTATAATACTGATGATGTCTACTACACGTATAATGGACGCATAGTAAATAATATGGAAGAAATTCCGAAACGTGCTTTGTTGCAAGTGCATTATCGTTTGCGCGGTGGTAAAGGTGGTTTTGGATCTATGCTGCGAGCTATCGGGAGTCAAATCGAGAAGACAACCAATCATGAAATGTGCAGAGACTTATCAGGTAGGAGAATGCGTGATGTAAACCTGGAAAAAAAATTAAAGGAATGGTATGCTACGGCTGACGAGCGGGAACGTAAGAAAGCAGAGGAATATGTTGAAAGACGACGAAAACGCCAAGAACTGTTAAAACAGGGTCTTTTACCTGAACATAGCTTTTCTGATCGTGAATATGAACGACAAAAACGTAAAATTGCTTACGAACTACGGGGAGCCTTGGATTCAGGTAAAGTCGCTTGATTCATAATTCATTGCAGAGTTTAGCCATAGAAAGTGTTAAGAAAGAAAAGAAACAAACGGAAATTCAATCTGTTGCTTCTTCTGAAAAGCAACTGAATACAAAGCGTACTCGATTATGGATAGAAGAGATGGACAAAGAGCTGTCTTTGAGTTCTAGTGATGATGAAATTTCGGCTAGCTCATCATTTGACATTTGCTCTAGTCTTGCAAAACAAGATGATAATTTGCCCGTAAAAGATGATACCGAATCCACAACGGACTCTACAGGATTAATTAACAGTGTTAAAACAGATGCAATTGGTAAGTTAGTATTCTGTTCACTGGTGCAACCGATTAAACTTGCAAGATAGTAGGTAACCTCGGTAGCCAGTGGGAAGTTTAGAAGTCGCCCTAATTATTGCTGCATAAAAGACCAAGCAGCTCTGTTTTCTCATCATAAGCGTCTTAAGCCTTGGTATATTTGAGCCCATAGTCAGTTATACTTTCTACCACGTTTTTCGAAGTATTTCAAGGTTATTCAAATGAAATATATGTAATAGAAACAATCGTATGTTAATTGAAGTACTGTTGTCGACTTTATTCCATACTATGTGACTTGTTTGATAGCATTACTGGTGTTCCAGTCCCTTAACCTCGAAAACTGATCAGCCATTGCTCTTATTTACCTAGGAATTATATATATATATATATATATATATATATATATATATATATAAAGAGGTTATAAGCTTCTCTAGCTGTAATAGTCTTTCACAGACGTTTCGTATTGAAAAGTTGTTGTCAGTCTACAAACCGATTAAATTTGTGTCGATTATAACTGCGATTACAACCGCATTTTCATCAAACTGGACTCATCGGCTTTCTATCTGTATGTTTTCCGATGATATTAGATGTTTCCTAACTTACGTAACTCACATACAGTCGAAACAAAATGTTCGAAAATTAGTAGCATAGACTAACTTACGAATTATTATCATACGATGAATCCACTTCTTAGCACTACCGTATATGTATTTTAAACAAAAAAATAGACGATTATATGCATATGTGAGGTTTAGTGACGAATAAGCTATTGGAATGCGTCCGAACGATTATGCCAATGAAAAGATGATTTTTGTCGCACAACGATGGGACATAATATGTGCATTTACGTGTTTACAAACAATGACAGTAAATAAAAAACCTTAAATTTATCAGTCGTATAGGTCTTTAATCTGTTGTTTTTGAACGACCGATGAATAAAAAAATTAACTACATTAATTCATTTCTTTTTCAAATTTCAGTTGAAGATAAAAAGGAATTGCAAAATGCTTGTGGAAACACCTCAAGAGAAACTGTCCAACCTTTAACTGACCAACAGTTGCGTGAAGTAGATACTGCAGAAAATCTCGAAGTGTTCGGCTTAGATGTTCTTAAAGCAACCTTAATGGCTCTGGGTTTAAAGTGCGGAGGAACGTTAAAAGAACGAGCTAGCCGTTTGTTTTCAATCAAAGATTTAAGTCCTGAGCAATATCCTGTAAAGTTACTGGCGAAGAACAGATAATCCTGATTTTCCTGAGATACCTTTTAGAAATTTATGTATAATTTTAAAGATTTGTTTTTGGCACATAACAGTATATATATACTAAGGAAAACATTGATTACTCGGGTAATTACTAGTGAATGCCATAAAGCGGTGTATTGACATGCGTATCATGTACGTCTAGACCCTTGATATCTGATGAGAAGTCATATTTTAACTTTGGTTTAAACTTGTATTATTCGCAACTCGAATGTCATAATGGACTCTCAAGAAAAAAAGAGAAATATACAATATTAATGATTACATATACATAAAACGTATTATTGATAAATAAAACAGTACAAGATAGGTTACAATCATTCTGTTTTCAAAATAATTTGATATATTCTAAGTAAATATGAAATAAAAGTTAACAACACAGTGAACGTTTTTAAAGCACAAAGCAGTTACAAGAAAATGAAAATTAACATCACAATTTATTTACTCCTGGGGTCAAATAAAACTGACATCTGGAGGAAATACACGAAAAAGTGATCGCCTGAGACAGTGATTAAAATATGGCGCTGAAAAAGACCGTAATAGTACTATTTTTTTTCGAGAGGAATCGATGTGCACATCAGCGAGTAAATAAATCCCGAACAGAAGTGGTCAGTGGAACATGCTTTATATTATGATTCACAGCTCATTGTACATGCTTGTCTGGATAAGTTAGGTATTATTGTAGTACACAACTTTTGTCGATTCTACGCCTCCCATATGACATATAACCTGCATTCTGCTCCAGTTCTAGTTCTGCAGCTAATCTTTAAGTTAAAAAATGTTAAAAATAAGAAAAACTTACACTTTCTCATGCAAATCCAATTCCTGAATGATGTCATCACGTTCATTGACCAATCGTACAAGATCTTGTAAAAGAAGATCTTCTCGTCTTCTATCATTATCTGTTTTCAAATAATCTATTTTATTTTGAGGAAAGATTTACGGATTAGTCTGAGCTTTTAATGAAATCACAAATTACACGCGTTGCATCAAAGAGGTCCAATAACTGAATGTGACTCGATAAACAAGTACATTTTTACATACACCTTTTGTTTGTGGACTGATGAAACTACGTGACTGCCATTGCTTGAATGATAAATTTTAACGCGTAAGCCAACAAATAATTTATGCCCGTAAACTTGTGCTTAATTTTTGGCAAATTTTTTGTTGTCGTAATCTGCTGGTGGCGCGAGTTCATTTTTCACATTTATAGGATAAAGTAAGACACTCAGGTGGGTTTTTGGAGACTCAGATAAGCAAACGTAACGATATATAAAGGTGATGTAGTTTGAGCTAAGCCTATAAAAATTCAGAGATAAGCGGTTGTTGTCATGAAAAAGTTGTTTTTCTCTTATTTTAATCACCAATTTCATACAGACATTGAAAAAATGTACAGCGTTTAAAGCTCAAAGGCTACTTACATTTTTAAGGTGAAAAATGTACATTAACCATATGAATCGGGCGAGTCTATTGTAAGCTAGAAATATGCAATATCATGCATTACACCTGAATGCTCGTGACATATATCCATTTCGAAGAAAACGTTTTTGTGTCCACAAAAGGCTAAATTATGGGAAACACTTTTTATGTGTAGTCTGTTCTTCAATATCAAGAAACAGAACAAACTCAAAGACAATAACCACGAAAAGAAAGGCAGATATCACTAAAGGAAATGAAGTTCAGTTTTTGAGCGCAAAAGTAGAAATTGAAACCACGAAAAACAGCATGTCTAGCACCTTGCAATTTGTTCAAAAGGTAAATGATTGCATCTTTATGTTACAAAATATGTATACCAATTATTTACGGTTATCCTTTAAGGCAATTTTGTTTTCTGTTAATTTTAGTAGCTTAGTCTGTGTGTCAGCCGTGATATCCAGTTAATCAAAATATTTTAAATTTACCTTCAACGGATAAAATTGATCGTAATTCATCCTGCAACATTTTCATTTTCTTTTTCAAATCATCTTCCTTCTCCCTAAAATGAATAAATAATTCGTTATTGATGTGATTGAATAATAAACATTTTGATGAAACATTGTATTATCATAACGGACTCAACTAAGAATAAAAAGTGATGATTATTGCGTAGGTTCTAAAACAAAGAAGGATCAAGGTAAATCGAATAGTTTAAATACAAAACAATTAGTTTCAAAACTTTAATTGGATTACAAAGTAGTTCCAAGAAAGTTTATCTTAATTTTAGATTCGAAGATGCTATGATGAGCGGCGTTGGAGCCTGATACTGATAAACAAACTTCTTATAGGCAAGTCCAACTGGCTATCGGCAAGAAAACTACGAGTAAAGAAATTTCATCAGGTTAAACCCGTACACATCTATGATCACTAATTCACACATATGTACACCTTAGAGGATGAAATCATTTATTAATCAATAACTTAAACCCTGACTGGGCAAATGTGGTCTCATTTGGCAACTTTTGACTGTCCCAATTTCCCAGAAGTTGGACAAGCTACATTGGAATAAATGGTAGTTAGCTTATAAGGAAAATGACTTTTGTGATTGCCGGCCACGTCTAAATTCTTTTCGATGACCAACTGGATTTATTTCAATGTACGCTATTCTCCTTTATTCTATTCTATAAGCCTCTGTCTTTAATGTAGTTTGGTTTAGAATATCTCAACAAAATATACCCTAATATTGCCTTTCTCTATATAGGACGTTTCTTGGAAGTATTCAACAAATCTTTGATTTTCCGAACTTGATGTCATCGCAATCATTTAAATATGGGAACAAAAAAGACTAAAATGGAAATAAATGTCGCTATGTAAGTTGAGTTAATAACGTATTTATATAGATAATGTATAGATTGAAATATCCATTAGTGATAAATCCTATCACACTTTTACAAGACGGATAAAAGGATAAACAGTCTTACATTATAGACAACTGGAAGCCCCGATGAATTAGGGCATTCTTCTTATTGACTAAAATAAACCATCGTCTTAACAATTTTTCTTCTGATGCAGTGCCTGGTTCGTATGCCATTTGTTGGCGTAAACGCTGCTCTAGTACAGCTGCTTCTTTATCTAACTCTTTTTGTGCCTCTTCTAATTCAGCCTGCTCATTGCTGATATAATTCGAAACGGAGAGAAGTGCATTAGACGAATTGGTATTGATTGAAGAGCCTATAAAAGATGAAGATATAAATATGCATATATTGTAAATCGATATAATGAACAGATATAACTGATTAGTAGAATAAACAATTTTGGCTTACAAAAAAAACAAATTTTTTGCTAAAAAACAAGTCTATTCACACAAAAAATATTCTCATATATCCGACATTTTAATATCAATTCCACATCTTATTTAATTTATAAACTAGCGGAAAACAACTTTCATCGGCAACCAGTTCAATATAATTTTCTTATTGAAAGAAATTGTTTTCACTATGCGGTTTCAATACTTCAATGTAAATAAAAGTAAACAACCGTTACGCCGTATTAATTACGCTGTTAAACGACTGAACAATTGCTTAGTATAAAATTGTTTTTGACAGATGGTAAATTAGTTGGTCAATCTTAGTGTGAAATTAGTGTAATTAACAGTAGGAAGTAGAGAATTCCCATACTCTACTTTTAATAACGTTCAAACAAGAAGTATGTACTTCGTAGATTGCAAAGAGCCAAATAAAAATTTGCAGACATCAATATTGATAACAATGTAGTATACAGATTTAGATTTGGATTCAAATAACACTAGCGTAAACCTAAAACCAATCCTTTTATGTACAGGGCAATTGTATTTATGATCTGAAAAAAACACAGCGTGGAATTTGTTTTATAACAACAATCGGAATCTTCAATTTGTTTTATGTCAAATCTGATTCATTGATTTCACGCTTCTTGACACAAATTTCATCATAACCATGAGTTTGAATTTGTGATTGATTAATTGGATCCAGTTGTAATAATTAATTTATATACGACAGAATATTGCAATGTTTTATATTTCTTATAGAGTGAGCATTCACTGAAGAAACAATTACACTCGAAAAATTAATAGTTAATAAAAGAGTGTTGTGAACTAGCTTCGGTTATACATAGTAGGTGTTTTTTTAATCATAGTTTATCAAAATATATACTTTCTATGTGACTAACCTTGATTTTTGGTCTTAGTGAATAAAACGAGTTCCACAAATGTTTGTTCACCGAAGGATATAATGAAAGGGAAGTATAGAAAAAATTAAAGATGACAATAATATATATCTAATAAACATAATATATGATATTGTAAAATTCTTTGGAAAAAATTGGTAACAGTAAGTCATCAACTTTGGTAAGTGAAGAGCTCAATGCTGATTGGAATTTTCGAACGAGTGTGCGAGCAATAAAATGTGTATCCTCAATGACGTGAATAAAAAATATCATGACAAGATTCCTAAAATAATTCTGCATAAATATCTTAAACACGATGTCTTTATAGAAATGTGAACAAAACTATGTTAATGATTTACGGTCAAAGAGTAGAATACATCAGTACTGATTCACGTCACTGAAAGAGAAGTGATGCATATTTTTAATTTTTGTTTGCTGATACACAAGCTAAAACATGATAACAAAGGCTATAAGTGTAAGTAAACTTCCGTTGTTATGCTGAAACTATTAAAAAGAATTCAGCCAACAATCAGAAACAAAACATTAGTCACTCTCTCCTTGCCCTGATCGGAAATGAATCGAAAAATTTAAGTTGCGAATGATGATGAAGAGGAAATAAGAACACCTTGCCCTTAAAAATAGCGTTTAATAATGAAACTACCAGTGAAATAATATTAGTAATAAGAAAGGCTCCGCAGAAAAACAAACCACATGCTTTATTGTGAGACGATTTCATCCTTAAGGCCAAAAATAAAGCATTTTTTTAATTAAACCACTACTATGAAACTAGTTATATGGGCGAACGATTTGGGAATTTCATCACCAAATAGCTGAACACTGTTTTGTAATTAAGCGAAAGCTAATTACCTATCGTACGTTCTTCTCTATGGACAAACTTAACAAACTGAATCTCTTAAAAAAATATGTACAAACGCTTTCGCTCCCACTTCGGTCATCACCATAGCCTACACTAGAGCCGCTTGAAAAGTATGAAGCACTAATTGAAAATAAGTAGTTCTTGATTGTATTCGTTTTTTGCAATAAAATAATTAATTTAAATATTTCAACTTACAGCATTGGAAACATGAGTTCGGTTATCCGTTTTATTATCCAAATGATGTTCACCAATACGTATAGGTACTGGTGCACCACTACCTCGACCTGATGCAAAGAGATTCATTTGTGACAGACGTAGACGCCTAACTTTCATTTGTTCCGGAGAAAATCTTGTGTCAACAGTTGACTGTGTAGGTTTACTAAGTGTTGGAAAAATATTACTCGTTGAAAATCGAAATGGCTTAGAAATGGAATTTAATGAGGTATCAACATTCGGTATACATATTGTGCCTGTAAATTGGAGGTATAAATAGACTAAATGATATTTTTATCCAGTAATATATGTGGTCCATGTAAACAAGCTAGAGAATGGAATAATAAGCTGACATAAATAAGTGCGTTATAAGAAAATATTCGTATTTGTGGGCGTTTAAGTATGGCATATCCATAATTTGAAACGCTTAGTAACTAAGAACTTAGTAACTGAACTTAAGATTATGGATGATAAGCATTTAGACTCAGGTAGCTGGGTATTTTGATAGAAAACACTATAATGTATGATTAAGGTGAGACATAGTAGTCCGTATAAATTAAAAATTACAAATATGATCTAATTTCTCTCAGAAACTAGATTGAGAAATGGAGCAATACAGAGCAGTTCCCTGATAACTTTACAAGCTACACCGAGGGTTCGAGTCATTGGAAAAATTGGAGAACTGTTGGTTAGTGGATCTCGGGTGCAACCAAGCTAATCTCATCGTGAGACCCAAAGGTACTGGTCAATTCGTTGTATGAAAGCATTGGTAATCAACTTTAGTCTTTTAATGAAATAACGAGATGTCAACGGTTTTCACCGGGTGTTGGTTTGTAGCAAATCTAAGTACGGTTAAAAGCCGCTTATAAAAGTGATTAGCTACGATCGACTAAAACTGTATACATCTGATTGCTACGCTTATGATTTTTCCCCTCTTACTAGTTGCATCTTACGATTAGAGAAACTTTACTGTGGAGCATTAGTTTTTAAGCACATACATAAGAAGACAAATAAGCGGTATTATTTTGTTCAAACGAAACATCATTTTTTGACCTGATAAAATAAATGAGCATCATTAATCTAATGCAACGAGAATCATTCACTTATTTATGATAATAATAGAACACGGACCTGAATTAAGAAAACCCGCATCCCTTATTTAATGTGTAAAATGGATGAAAGATGATCAGTTAATCAAGTCAAATATATTCAACCGAATAAAGCCCTGGTTTATTCGGTAGGGTAGTCAACATTCAATTAGTTAATAAGAATTTACGACTGCACTGCACCGACCAATCAGTATATACCATTGGCGAATGACTTCGTACACGGTTGATGAGTATCATTACTTGTTATATTCAAAATATACTAAATTACTTAATGCACACATGATTCGATATGATAAAATCGATCATAAATTACTGATAAAGAGGAAATATTACTAAAAAGTTACAGACTAAAAAGAATACTTGCAGGCAAGCTAAAACGTAGACACATTGCTTAGGTCTCGGAAAGAAGCACTTTAACCAACACTACGCCAAACTGAGAAATTACTTGGAATTCAATTTGCAATTCATCACGTGACACATTCATTTTACTACTGTGCATATTAGCATAGCAAAAGTAAAAATATGGATGGCAGAAAAACAAAGTAATATGATATGAAAATTCTAAAACTTGGTAGCGCTATACGTTTAGAGATGAACGATGAGTATATCTCGGGTTATGATATTAGGGTGCTGTCTAATGTGTTGAGAACTTTAATCTGAGCTAAATAAAAAGAACTCAAACTAGGAACCGATATACATGCAGTAATATAACTGGAACGATGCTATAGTACCTGGTAACTTCAAGTGATTGCATGCTTCAAGCTGAAAAATTATTTATTATGAGTAACTCTGCCTAAAAACCAGAGAAATCAAGCCACAAATACCAAAACAGTGAGGTTAAGGACGGGGGATAATATTTAATAAAGATATGAAAAGTTTTCGACTAAGAAGCTGTATGAAATGTATTGTTCAGTTTTCGCAAGAAAGAATGACGCGATCATATCGGCCTTGGTGCGACATCTACCCCGACTGGTTTCAATAACATTGCGATTATTTATTCTTATTATAATCGCCTGGGTGGATTTGCCAAAAACCTGATGAATTTTTGAGAACTATTTTACAGGATACAGCGTTTAGTTTTTTGCATAGCTCTGAAGTATTTTAGCTTTTCTTATGAGCGTTTGTATGCTATTATTTTTGTTTATGAAAGCCTACTCTCATAATCCAATATTTGAATTGTAAGAATTGGTCTCTTGTATAATGTTTCCAACGTTCTTGTTTGTTTTATTGCCTAAAACCAGGACATCCAACAATAGAAATTTGTGATTTAACTGTTTTCTATTGAATGGAAATGCTACTGATCAATCATGAAGTATTTCTGAGTTTGTGTCTTAAGGACAACAAACACATCAACGATACAATATTCCTAAAACTTAAGGTTTTATTGTTGGTGGGACTTCAGCAACTAGTTATACAACTATAGATTCTGTAATAAGTCCTAATGGATGTATCTGAGTTAAAGTTCCTTTGGTCTGTAAAAATATTTGAGAAATAAATATGGAATGCGTTGTAAGAAGTTAGTTTATGACCGTCGACAAAATAAATTGCATCAAGTATGAGAAGCAGTTTATGAGAGAGGGAAGACTACTTTTAAATAGGGATACATGAATACAGTACTGAAAGAACGCAATATATTTTCACTTATATGAATGGTTGTAAGAGATTGCAGATACTTATTTAGTTAAGAAAATGCCAAAATATACGAAAATGAGGTGACTAGGTCAATCTGCAACCAAATATTTACTGTACTGACACAAGTCCAATGAACGAGTCCATACATGAAAAAAACTAATTAGTAAGAGATCGGTCCAACAAAATAATCAAAAACAGAGACGACCAGTTATCAACATAGTCATGAAGGTTAACTACTCAATCGGTAGTAGTAAAAAAATTTTAAATCTTAAATTTAAAAGTGTTTAAAACAACAATGAGAATTTAACAAACAGACCGCTCAACTGAAAACACAATACAATCAAGAACATTCGATGAACTATAAAGTTTTTTTTCCGATATTCTAAAAACTCTTTACAGCAGTGACATGAACACTGGTGATGATAAATTTCTATCTACGTGAATCCAGTCTATCTGTATAAAATTCCTAATATGCATTTGACAACATTTTGAAATCATTTCCCGAATGAAACAAGAATATACTAAAAAATTTTATATTGATTATACCTATGCTATGCTAATAGATTAAAATATAATAACCGATATTTTTTTTTAAAAGACTTATTTCTGTCAAATTAAAAAGTGATCATCCACATTTAAATTTATCTGCATTAGATGTTTATTTAAAAAATTACTTAATTAATTTCAGTAGTATGTTTTTGATCATCAAGTTTTCTTAATAAAAGTGGATAAAATTACCATCTGAATTAAATCTGTACAGAGTTTTATGAGATTTTCGATGTTCTGAATTTTAAAAAAAGCGTTTATTCGATTATCCCAAAATAATATTTAATTTAGGCAAACAAAAATTTGATAAATAATAATAGTATGGATGTGTATCATACATAAACGAATGAACATTATCAATATGCAAAGCGGACAATTGGCATTAACATTAGCATATATATATATATATATATATATATATATATATATATGCAAGTGTATTCAGTCATATTATAGACAATAAGAAAATTATGCAACCAAAGCAATAATGTTGAATGAAAAAATAAACAAACAGCATTCATATGAATTTAATATAAATGCAGTGTAATTTTAATGAAAATAAGTAAATATATATATGATAGTTAGTTCAGTAGGTGATACGTGCGCATATCCATATAAACATAGATATAGATAAATATAATGAAAAGAAAATTGGTGCATAAAAAAAGAAAAAAAATCAATGTTAAACATTATTATTAGAAGGTAGTTAAAAAACAAGTGAAACGTTTAACTTGAAAAAAAAAGTAACGAAACACAAACAATGAATTTAATCAACATTTTGTGCTAAAACAATTATGAAACTATAACAGCTTCTTGGGATATTTTGAGTTGATTTATTTGAGCAAATGAACATTATTATGTTATAATTATTATTATTAAGAAAAAGCATGTATAATACATTTGTATCTGAGTACTCATGAGTATCTAACTCCGTATCTAGGCACTTCTAGGGTTACTGCTCGTCCCAAGTCCGGGTAAAGGAGTAGGGTCGGCAACCCAATCTCGAATAAGATAACCTTTTCTAAGAACACAGTAACAAGAATAAACAATTTAAACACTGCCGTCCGAGTTAAAGGAAGAATTATAAGGCCTCATAGTGAAAGACGATATTCTTCAGAAGCCACAAAGTCAATACCGTTTCTAATAACCAGGGCAACAATTAACATAGGTATATGGAGGTGCTGGACATCAACAAGCAACATCATCATAAAGAATGGATCACTAAAGAAACCCTGGGCAAGATCCAAGAAAGCAAAACAAGGAGATAGCAATTAGCAGCAGCCGAACAAGAAGAGAGGAAGTCAGGGCAAAAGCTGAATACTCAGAAGCAAACAAGAAAGTGAAGAAGAGCATTGGGTCAGTGGACACTGATGGTCCACCTGGGGGATTAGGAAAATCTGCACCTCCTTATGTCGCCCCACTGCCTTATAGATCAGACTGACTCTAGGTCAAAAATTCCGAGTGTGGCCCCCTAAGAAAACCACCTGTTTCAGCCTTGGCAGTATCACAGCCCTCACACAAATCAAGAGAATTTTGTGGCGCATATTTATTCGGTGCCCCTTTGTACCAATATTTATGTGTTCAAATAAATAAATAAAAAAGGATCGGTCACGACACTACGAATCATCGTTGAACAATCAGTTGAATAGAATTCATCACTAAAAATCACCTTCCTCGAGTATGAAAAAGCATTTGACATTGTGGATAGAACATTATGGAAACTTCTTCGAGACTATAGTGTACCTGTGAAAATCGCCAACATCATAAGGAATTCATATGACGGACTACTGTGCAAAATCGTGGATGGAGGACAGCTAACAGACGCATTTCAAGCGAGGACTGGAGTCAGACAATGCTGCCTACTCTCTCCTCTGGTGGTCGATTGGATCATGAAGACCTCCACATTTCGATGTACGAAATACAGTGTACAGCTTGCATGCGACTAAACGATTTAGACTTAGCAGATGACCTGGCCCTTCTATTTTATACACACCAACAAATCAATGTGAAGACAATTAGTGTAACAAAATCCTCTGCATCAGTAGGCCTCAAAATACACAAGGGAAAAAGCATGATCATAAAATAAAACACGAACACTGAATCACACTTGATGGAAAAACTCTGGAACAGGAAGGAACGGACGGACGAAGAGGACCGGATAGAGACGTAAAGGCGAGGATTGACAGAAGCAATAGCCTCATTCCTGCAACTGAAGAACATATGGAACTCAAAACAACTTTCAACTAACCTCAAAGTGAGAATTCTCGGTACAAACGTCAGGACAGTTCTACTGTAGGGAGATGAAACGTGGAGAACTACTACAACCATTATCAAAAATGTACAAGTATTCATAAAAATTTGCCTACATAGGATACTGTGAATATCCGTTGGCCGGATACCATCAGAAACAGCCTACTACGAGAGAACAAACCGGCTTCCAGCTGAGGATGAAATTAGGAAAAGACGTTGGAAATGGATAGGACACATATTGAGGAAATCATTAAACTGCATAATGAAGCAAGCACTAACTTGGAATCCTGAAGGGAAACGGAACAGAAGACCAAGAAACACACTGCGTCGGGAATTGTAAGGAGATATCAAAAGAATAACAACTAGAAACGACTGTAAAGGATCGCCTAGGAGAATGCTGATGGAGAATACTGATCAGTGGCCTATGTTCCCCCACGAGGGGCAACAGGTGTAAGTAAGTAACTAGTGTGTATCTAACCTAATTTTGACGAAACGGATTAGTGTATGAAGTTAGAACTAACTAAATGAAGTTTTTTACAAATATAAATTTACAATTCCCTTAAGGAATGAAAACAATAAATTGTTTCAGTCTAAGTACATTTATGGTTTTATATTACTCTAAAAGAAAGTAAATTTTACACAGTACTATTATAAAAACAAAGCATTTTCCAGGATTTTCAATAAGATATTGTATAAAGTTATAAATACCTACAGTCGAGTAACATAAACAATAAAAGTGAAAAAAAGAAGTAACAAATTTGTATTCATTACTGAAACTTTCTGAATAAATACATCGACTATATTATGTAGTAGAGCTGAATATCTGTAGAGTTGATGAAATCGATGAAGAAATATGTAATTTTAGGTAAAGAAACCAATGAATAAGACAACGAAATCATATATAAGTAATATACAATGAAGATAATCATAATTGAGAATACTTATCAGCTGAACGTACACATATAAGATGTGTGTACACTTAAGTCACTGATGATTCATCATTAACATGATTGAAAACAATAATACAATTAAGTACTATATACAAATATGACCGTAAACGTTACATTTATTTCTTGAGAAATAATCACTTAATAATTTTAGAAGATTGACAGGAGTATGGATAAATACACTAAACTTTGTTACAAGAGTTGAAGTCATGAACCGACCAGAAATATAGCTAGTTTACTTAGACTATATATAAACATATGTTGGGTTCTTTCAAGAATTCATCAGCATTTCACATACATACTGATCCATTTAAATACAATTTTGAAAACTATATTTATCTAAAAAAAAAACATTTTTGTGTATTCACGTATGATTTGGTTGTTTAAGAATTTGACATTCAACTGATGGACCACAAGTTTGAAACTTATTTTGTTGGGTTTTTCGTTTACTTAATCAAATAATATAACAAACCCTCACCAAAAAGAGTAACTGAATGTCAAGCTCAAAAACTTCTACATGATAAACGTGAGACACTGTTTGTACAGAAAAGCGAGAAAAATTATTTAACAAAAATTAAACCTTACTTGTACATAACTTTGTATCAGTCAATCGATGATTTTGTCCGTCAGTTAATGTAGTATTCGTTAAACTTTCTCCTGCCACTGAATTTCGGTTAAAATTTTCATCCACTGAATGGATTGCTGTCAATGAACCAGATATAGGATGTGATTTACGAGGATGTGCTAAAGGCGGTAAAGCACCAGGTCGACTTGTTGGTGCTAAATAATTTAGACGTGATTGTTGCAAGAGACTACGTGCTTTTGTCAACATATGTTCATAATTCATCAAAGGAATTTTCTTGAACAAAATAGTAAAAGCAGAGAATGAATAGAATATTTTTAAAAATTAGTAAAGTGGAGAGTTATCAGCACTATATTAGATTAAAGATAAGAAAAATTCATGTGTAATAACATACAATCTTGATACGTAAACGCCTTGGAAAATAGAAAGTACTTTCTAACAGATAATCCAGATAATCTCAGACCACTAGTATTTTTTTGAAGATGGAGATCTATCCCTGACAAGTAAGATGAAATAAGTATAACTTTTAAAAAAAGTCGTTAAGAAAATTTAACTAGGAAAACGCAAAGTAGGCAGCCCTGAATAACACTAATCTAGCTTGAAATTCATGACAGTAGGTCATAAGCTCAGATTCGATGATTAGTGAGTAAAAAGAGAACAATCACAAGGTTTGTGTACTTCACTGGTACTCCTATCAACAAAAATAACAGACACGAAATATCTCTGTCTACAGAGTCGAGTGTCACTTTAAAATCAAGATATACATCTATGGTAAAGACATCGTAGATAAACCTATGTTCTAAAACATAAGGAAGAGTGAATATTTGATCAATATATTCACGTCAAGGTTTGAAACTTAAATACCTTTTCCAAACCTTAATTAAGTGTGCAGTTATTACGAAGGCTAATGTATTAAATAATATTTGTTAGTGTTTCATCAGCGGTTATTGCAAAAGAATTTACGTCCTTCCTTGCAGAGATTGACATCAGTTAGGTAAGATTATACCCAGATAATATTGAAATCGGTAAAACTACGCAAACTGAATCGTCATACTCAAAGAATGCTTGAATTAATGTATCAGGTTCTGCTGTACTTAATAGCTTTAGAATAGCCTTTTCAAATTAAATAAGGATACAAATAAGATGCAAGTTACTATTCAAAATCGCTTTAGAAATACGTCTAAGAGACCTAATAAAAACATTATGATATTTTGATATGACACTTTTGTCTACCCCGTTTTATGAATGTTCACTTTAAAATGTTTTTTTTTTACTCCGTCTTTATTCAGTGAATTGATGTTTGCATAATGGTTTGGTTAGAGTGATGGCTTGAATCGACGCTAAAAATTCACCAGGGTTGGCCACGTCACGTAACGAATGAGCCATTTAAATTGAAACCTATTTTTATCATCATAGTATTGATATTTTTTACATAATGGGCCGCTAAAAAACTTAAAACCTGGTTATATGATTCAATATGATAAACTTTCGTCATCTGAAGATAAGTAGGTCACATTAACCATCGAAAAATTAGAACAGTGAGAGATCCTTGCTCACGGTGTAATCAGCATAGTCACACGAATCAAGTTAGTAATAATAACAATCGTGTTGTTAGTTATTTGTCGGTTTACCTATTAGTCAGTTGCCTACAGTATCGAATAATGACACACATGAATGCAGCCACCAAACAGAAATAATATTAAAAACTACACGCCATATATCTAAGTTCTTATTAAACTAGTTTAAGCTGTGGAAATACTAATTTTAAAAAAAGTAAATAATAACAAAGGACAGGTAATGAAACATAATTTCTTACGAAACTACCTTTTTAGATGTGGATCTAACAGCTTTATCTGGATTAGATAAATCATTTTTAACATTGTTTGAGTTTTCATCCGGTGGATTCTCATTTTCCTGCAAACTATGATTCGTTTCTGAGCTACAATAGGAGAAGTAAAGAAAAAATCGTGAATATAAAATATGGCTTCAGTATATATTATATAATAAGCATATAGTGATCATGTAGCTAAATAAGCGCCTTGTTTAAATAAAACAAGAACAAGACAGGAGGCAGAACAATATAAATTCAACCGTGGTTTCGCCCCAGCTGTTTACAACCTTATATATATATATATATATATTCTTTTATATCTAATCTTTCTCGCTACTAATGTTACCACCTATACTATTTCAAGACTTCGCTTGTTAATTGCATCTCTCTGTGCTAATGCAGTATGGTAATTTGAACAGATGGAAATATATGCCAGGTTCAAAGCTGCATATGACTGACTAGCATATGTTAAAAAATCTGTAATTTATAAACTTATAATCCTTGACCATTTGAGGTTCATAAAAAAGGTTTTGTAGATTCATGCAAAACACATCAATGATGACTTTAAACCAATAAATCCTCTAAGATGATCCATTTATATATTGATACTGATTGAAATGCTAAACATTGGAAAATGTAATAATTTACGTAACCATTAAACTTAAGAAACTATATACATATATATATAAACCGAAAACTGAACTCTTTACAACAAAAACAGACTTGTTAGTTTTGATACAACATTGTTCAATGATCCCATTTAATACCAAGTTATCGTTTGTACATGAAGAATTCTCATCAATATTTTTTGTTCGTTCGCAGCAAAATGTACGGATTTGATGGAGGTATGTCATCATACTGAGCAAATCAGGTGAACGACTTTTAGAAACTACTTCACTTGGATCAAGTACACGGGGCACTCCCAATTTAGAAGCCACATCGAACGCCAGTCGACAATTCTGTAGAGGGTTCTCCGAAGACAATGAGTCGTAGTCACTTGGAAAGTATTTTTAAAACAAAAAAAATATTCGTTACGATACAATAAATAAAATACAAGGAAGTATTGTGTTCAGAAGAAGAGAGATGTTTGAGACTTACTGGGATGTTGTATTATTTGAAAAGATCGGGTTAAAAAATTAATCTTCAAGAACACTATTACGTCGATTTCTAATTAAATATAAGTATAATGTTTTATTGGATGTAAAACCTATCCTTTTACCAAGTAGTCTTGGCTTTGATACCGGCTTTTTTTTCAGAGATTTTAATTGTTTTAACTGTTGAAGTTGACGGAACTAAGATAATTTCCAAAAATTAATTTCGCAAACTAAAGCCGTAGGTTTTGTAGATCAGATCAACTTGTTCTTAAAACTTGAATTAACATTAAAACAGAATCGAACACTTTAGCCTTGTAGGTTTATTCAGTGAAAACTGCTAGTTATAATCCAAACTAGGTTGTATGGTAACGTGTTGACAGAGTGGAATATTAACAAGTTACGTATAGATAAATGAATAGTTGTTTAGTTGACGATAAATACTAAATACTATCTGAGTAAATGAATACGTTAACAGTTGAATGTTGCGAGAAAAATGAAATGCTTCTGCATAGAGCTCAATAGAACCAGAACTTTCATATGATAAATATTGACTAAAAAAGTTGATTGATTGCATTCTGAATAAATTTCCGCTCAATGTGTTTCAGAAACAAATATATATTTCCCTTATTAGATTAACATTTCTTCATGTAAGTGTATTTTAAGCGGAAACGATGAACATAAATTTGTGATAAAAAAGCTAATTAAACTATTGAAAAGACTGATTACTGAATAAGAGAAAAACTATCCAGTGAATAAGATGAAACATTCGAAATACAAAAAAAATGATAAGAATATATTACGTATATGAATGTCAGAAGAATTGTTATATTTTTTAAAAAAAAACATCCTGTCGTAGATTATACAGTACACCTTCAACGTGTGAGCTAAATTGAATTTACATCTGTTCTTCAATAACTCAAAGACAAGTAGCTTGACGAGTTATTACGGAGTAAATTATTTTGAATAGATATGTTAGGGTTAGAGAGTGATTCGATACATAAGGTCAATTATAATTCATAGAATCATAGGTTTCAATGAATTATCCAAACAAATAGAAATAAAATAAATGAATATAATATAATCAAATAAATTTATACTTAAAAACTACTAAGCAGTAATCACTTATGAATTTATTATGGACCATAGTGTAACAAGAATTAATAAAACAGATTATATCAGCTATTAGTTATATGCTCGATCCCCTGAGGATTATTCATTTATATTATTCAAGAAGATAAGTATTGATCTAAACATTTGTTCAATAAGTATGAATATCGATAAAAATGGGAGAAATATGTTCTAACATTTACCAGATATCCCTGAATCCGTAAGCTGAAAAATTTACAGGTTAATTAAAAATGACAAAAGGTAAACTTACATTCGATCAGGAAAAAAGTGATGCAGGATAGCACAAAAAGCCAATCCATTCTGGAATGATGTAGTAAGATCAGTTATTTGTATATTGTCATAAGATTTAGTCACCAACTGACACCATAGAAGTAAATCATATCGACTTTGAGTTGAAATAGGCTTTAATCTGACGCGAAATAGGCAAATAAACGTAATTATAAACTATATTAGAGCATACTGTGAACAGTGTGTGATGACATTTATTTATTGAACAAACAGATTGATTAACAAAGCTCTATAAAATCCCATATACACAGGCTGCAGAACACGTAAAGAAATTATATTTGTGTATGTAAACTGGGATTATTTTAACACATTTATCTGTAGGAAGACGTCAGTAAATGTTCCTAAACAGTTTTAAAATCATTCAAATCGCTTTCCAGTAGTCAACGCCTTTGGAATACAACAAGAATAATCTATATGATAATGCCCTAATGTTCTTTTCTAATTAATTAGTTCATCAACGACCTGAATTATTGTTAATTATGACATGTTCTTTACAAGCTTCCAGAACTTAAAAATTACCTATCGAGAACTGTGTAAATGTTACGAATAACCAGTTTACTTATTGTACAGATTAAACGCTTCTCAATTATTTAATTCTATTTGAGATTTATCTATACAATATATAACTCTGCTGATTTTGAACTTCTAGATCTTCGGTTGATGTGTCTTGTTCCAGTTTAACTTCATTACTGAGAAAATCCAGTAAAGTTTATGTACTTCAGGATTTCATTCAGATCAAAGCTTTAGTTATATTTCTATTTTCTGCTTTCGTTTGGAATTCAAGATAGGTAGCAGACGAACAATACTAGAACAGCCGTCTTTTCTATTGATTTATGTTTAGTAACATTTCACGACACTGAGCCGTATATTCCCTATTACTTACAGCCAAATCAGATCCACCATTGTTTCAAATTTCACATTGTATATGATAGGTATTTTAATTTTAGGTGGAAATATAAAGCACTACAAGACTTAATGTTAGGATTCTAGCCTTTAATCATAACAAACTTGAAAATCAGAATGCCAATGTTGATTGCTCAAAATCATATATTCATGTACAGAAGAGTGAATAGATACATAGTTGATGGTGAATGAAAAGGTCACCGATATCTTTGGTACATACCATATCGCACATTTAAGAATGATTATTATTTCTCGAGAGAATTTTACAAAACTTAAAAGTTTCATCAAATAATCCTAGTATTTAAGAACACTCAACGTGAAGGTAAATAAGCTTTTAACCTACTAAACAATAAAGATATGGTTTCAGAAGTATTTTTACGCTTTGAAAACTAATATTATGTTTCTAAATCACATTAAAGTTATGGGATTTACGTCCTATATCATAGTAGAAAGCAAATCGCATACATAACAACTAATTTATGGGGGTTACATTGGTAACAAGGGTTAAATGGAACGTAACTAACTTATAAATGTTATCCTAGCCAATCAATTATTTTGCAAGTTAACATACATCACTAGAATAATCTGGAAATGCGAATTGTAGAGTAACTCATTAATATTTGTTGTGCAGAAATCTACATTCGACTCATACATTTAATTACAAGTTATCGGTACGTGAAAACAACCTAAAACAAACAAATTTTCACTAACATTTTCACCATATCATGAAACCCACAACTAATTTAATCATTACTAACAGGTATTTGTCCTGCATTAGGATTCTGAAACCTTAAAACAACTATAATTTTCAAAATCGGGTTCTTTGATATTAACTTTATATTAGAACAATATGAAAAAATGATTAAATTATCCAATCACTTTTTAAGTATTAATGACTTTGGTTATTAGTGAATGCATTTAAAGAAGTTAACACTATACACAGATTCTCAGAATAAGTAGATTACTAACAAAATGGCTGATATCCCAAATACTATTTAATTTAATTTATTGATTGAAAGATTAAAAAATTACATAAATCTAAACTGATAAACGATACTTGTTTTAATAATATTTACTCGTAATTAATTCGAAAACATTAAAAGAAATCACTACTTACCCAGAGGAATTAGATATTGTTTTACCAAAAGAAGGAATAGGTGGTTTCGACAACATATCATCGACCGTAGATGAGAGTGAATCTTGAAAACGAAAAATTGAACTATCATAAATATTGACTGTTAGCCATGAATTTGTAAACAATACTTTCCTAAATAATATATTACGTAACAACTTCCTTCTATCACGTGGAACATCTTAATTATAACATTAAGTTCCCTTGAAAAGTCATAGCTTTTAAGATAATATCATAATTGAATTGACTAAGTCAAATAACTGATGACAAATTTCTTTGTAACATGAAATGATTTGTGTTACAAACATCAAATGATACAATAAAACATGGGTAAACACAGTTAATGCCAAGCTTGGACGTGGTTTTCTGTGCACTGTTTTGAAATATGTAGTTTTTATTACTTTTGAATTGATATTGGTTGTAAAGTAAAAACCGCTAACATATCAATCAAAAATCTACTAAACCGATATCATATACATTTCATCGGTAACAAGAATGTTGGTGTTTGTATGTCTCTTGTACTGGAGTGCGATTACATTCCGGAATAAAATAAATCCAAAAACTAATCACAAATATAAGATAGAGACATTAAGTCCGTTATGGTTTAAGTTATAGAATTGTATAACTCTGGAGTATAACCGGAAATATTCCAATTTCCTTTTATAATTCAAGGTAAGTCAATGACATCCTTTATAAAAAAAACTCATAATTTTCGGGTAAATAATTTTATGAACAATAAATTATTACATTAAATAGGAATAATATATTTGTAAAATCTCAGCGAATGAATTTGTAGTAAATCCAACGTTTCGCCTGGCAATCTGGTCCAAGCTTTTTCAAGGAATTATAATCAAACATCAAAATTATCGAATATCTTATTATTATTACATTTGTTTTAAGGTGAAGAAAGATGATTTTAAAGGAAAGTGAAAAAAAAGATATTTTTTCAAGACGAGTTACAATGACAGATAAGATCTACCACGTATATCTGTTATTATTCTTAATTTTTGTAAATATATTGATGAACACATCATTGAACACACTAGGTATTATGAATCAGAATCGAGCATAATAGAAATAATTTATTCACTTTTTATCTTCTCTAAATAAATAACTCCGAATAAATATGCGCCACACAAATCTCATTTCATTTGTGTGAAGGCTGTGATACTGCCCAGGTGCCCAGATCGAAGCATAGGGTTTTCTTAGGGGCCACATCCGGAGCCTTCGACCTAAATGTATGATCCACAAGGCAGTGGAGCATCGTTGGGAGATGCAGTCCCATGGTAGCCGGTGACCAAGCATTCGTTCATACGCCATTTGTTCCATCAGGATACTGGAGCCCATGTGCACCATTGGTTTGAAATCAAGTTTTTTTTAACTCTTTCTGTGCCCACCAACCCGGGTAAAGTACCGAACATTCGCTTTCCGTTCTCTCAATTCCGTAAACAACACCCCACCATGAGAAGGCAGTGAGTAGGACTTCCCTGGCAGAGGCTAAATACACGTGGCCATGTGAGAGCATTTCCAGAGGGAGAGCGGACTCTTCCTACTCTCGGCTGTACCAGGGCATTTGGGGACCAATAATAGTCAACTGGGTTGTAGCTTTATAATCACCTGATATGCCAAGTACTAGTTAAAATATTGAACATAAATTGGTCATCATATAAATTCTGATGTTTTCCATATGTACACATATCTAGAGACCACAGATCAGATTCACCCTATTAACTCAACTACTGGTACTTCAACAACAAACACAACGAAAACAGTCAAGCTGGAAAATGTAAAAAGAATAACTGTATGTACATATTACCTTGGTTTTTCGAACTATTTAGAGTTTTTTTAGAATTATCTAATTCAGAAGAATAATCTAAAAAATTGCCGTTTGTCTTTATAGGAGATTCTACAAGAGGGTCTATTTGACGTCTTTCCAAAGATTGTAGTTTAGCAGTTAATTCACTAAGATCAGTATGAAAAGTACTATTTGAAAAGGAATGTGAATTAAAATCATCTGTGTTAGCGTGCCTTGCTGTTGTTGGTGAAAATGCTGGGACACCACCTAAATCGTTAATCGTCACTCCACTGCCAACGTTAAAACTCCCAGTACGACTTAATGACATGAGTGATGCTATGGATATCATGTCTTCATCGCTGAAAAAGAGTAAAATAATAGAAAGGATTAGTAGATATAAAAAGAAAGATCGCTTTATATACATATGAATTCTATAATTCTTAATAATATCTATTAAGAACAACTCTCCTTTTTAATTGAAATTGGGGTACATAACATCACAAGTTCGCAAAAGCCAAGGAAATCTAACAAAAATGATGTGACAAGAGATATCTCATGTGATATATATGAAGAATCTATCTGATTTAATGAAAGATTTGCTCAAAACCCTTAGATCTAAAAACTGTAACGTTACATACAAAATTAGTAGTAATAGTTAATGGGCGGCCTTTACAACAAGTAACCGTGGTTAGGAGCCTGCTATTAATGTTGTTGCAGAAGAAACAAAACAACAGAATATTCTGAGGCCAACAATAAATCTGATGAATGAATTTATGGCTTGCAAAATGTAGGTTTATGTACAAAAAACTTGTTTCGACTCCTGAATGTTTTCATTTGGGCTAATGATAAAGTGAACCACAGGTCAGACTTTGGACAGTCCATCGCCTGATATTGATTTCAGATGAAAATAACGAAGAAACAAGATTCATTCGTATGGGTTGAATAAACGGAATATTATTTTTTTAAATGCCAACTGCGCAAGAGTCGAATGCCACCTAAAACTAAAGTAACACCACAGCTGCTGGGCGTCAGTAACTTTGCCTGTTTCTTGTTAGAGTGTTGTAAAGATTATTGAATTTCATAGTTTACATCTGGGATTAGTCTTAGAGAACAACTAAAAACTGGGGAGCACTGAACAGTCGTGAAACCTCGAAATCCCGGGTTCGACCCTCAGTTAAGTTATGGAAGCGCACCGTTGGAGAGTCCCACTCTCGGACAAAACAACTTTCGAGTGCTATCTGGCCTTCAAAGGTTGTCTAAGACTAACTTGTGATGTGAACCGCAAAACCATGTCGTTGCTGAAGAACCTGAAAAATGTTGAATATTTGATCGGTGCATTCAAGTCCAGACCTGAAACAAGTCTGATTTCTGCAAGTTTCATGTTCACAAGCCTTAGATTAAACGTTTGCCGTAATGATAATTAACATTTCACACAGTGTACTTGTCAGTGATAAATCTTTGGTTATGGCAAGTGAATGACCACACTAGGATCCTGTATGTGTGTTTTAGAAGCACCACGAATCGATGACAGTAGGTTTTAAACTCTCACTTAATGAAGTCTTTTGGCTTCATGAAACTTCAGGTAGAGTTTCGTGAGTATGAATCGTTAGTACTTGTGACAGATAGGAAATTATAGTAAAGAAAGAGGAAATATTAAGAAGTGAAGAAAAGGCTCAAGTGTGGACAAAGTCTCTAAGGCTATTAGAAGAGGAAAGTTGTAAGTTTCTGACTCCGGATATAGTGGAAGAATACTTAACCGGATACAAGAAAAGGAAACTGAATTAACAGTAGACTTGACGACCTGGGAGAGTGATCGCAGACGCCAAGGAACAACTGTTTTATGTATTGACTACATCTTCTTAAGGCTTTGCCATATGCATCGAAAATTCGTAGAAGACAAAAAATGGTTTCTAGAGTTGGTCACTTCTAGCCCTTAACATGAGAAAGCAGCATAAGTGGAAACGATAAAAATCTCTGGGAAATATCATACTGTAATGATACCCCCATTAAAATTGGTAATGCGACTTCTACTTAGGAACTTAGATTTGGTCCCTTCAGATTTACTACTATCCGACCAACAAGCCAGAAATTGTAGTTTCAAAGAACACACCATTTCTAACAAATGTCCAATACAAAGATCTCAGTTAAAATAAAGCCTAGAAATATCAACACATATGACTTTAAACAGATGTTTCAAATCACCTTGTGGTCGAAATAATGAACTTTCAAAGCTTTGGCACCCAAAAAAAACTTTACACAAGTCAATTAAATATCTTGAAGATCCTTTAGTGAATGCACACAATGATTTACACATTAAGTGTTAGTCTATCATTATTGTGCATTGGTTTACATGTTTAACTTTAATCAATTTGTGATCAAAGGTATTCCCGAGATCTGAAAGTCCACAGTTCAATTCCCAGTTGACTTGTAAACGCCGACTACCGAGGAGTACTAAAGTAGAGCGGAACAACTGCTTAATCCCTTTGGATTTCTAAAGGCTGCCTACCTAAGATCAATTTACGGTGTTAGTTATCAAATTTCATACATTCATTAAAGAAACTCAAGGTTTCATTTCATACTTAACACACTAAGGTGTTAGATATTACATTCCACTAATAATATTCGGATACATCGTTTTCCATTAATATTTGTGTAAAATGTTTCATAACACATTGATAAAGTAAAATATTTATGTGGTCTGGAGCAAACATTTTTAATACTTTGGAAACACTAGCGATTGGTCAATAGCTTTCAAAAGTAGGGACTCAAATGATTTAACAACTAATTAAAGTAGAATAAAATCTCACTTACTTATAATCTTATGAATAAAACAATAAAATTCGAATTAAATTTAAAAACAACTAACGTGGCTTCTCCAGCTTTTACAATAACGGAATTTAACGTAAGGAGAACTGTAGCAGATATTAACTTTTTAGAAGCGAGACGCATGACTACTTTGAGATTTGTTTGCACAGGTAAATCTGAGACGAATTCGGCTATATCGATTTGTCTGGTAGCAAGTACACGTCGTCTAACCGATGGCGTAGATCCTGAAAGCAAACCTGCAGTTTTAGATCCAACCTGAAAACGAAATCAGTATAAAACAAAAATGTACACCTAATGTAATAAGCACCGTCACGTTGGATAAATTCAAAGCTGAAAACACTAATTACGAACATCACTGTGGTGCATTTTTACTAGTTTCAATTATATCTGATAGTTTCGAAAGATTTCTACTACCTCAATACCCCTTTCGAAGAAATAAGACTAATAGGAAGCGATGTTTATTCAAACTTACTAAAATTGTTCGTAATTTCAGACCAAATAATAGAGGAATAAATTGTCTTCTTATTTTGAATATCAAGGAAAACAAGATCTCTAGTTGATAGATTCTTAGTGAATATATTTGTTAAACTTTTATCGATAAGACGAAAAGCTGACAAAAAAAGCTTTATTTCGTTTAAAATGAAAACTTAAAACAGGCCAATTCGATTTGTCACAAATAATCATAATAAATATGTATTTTGATGGACAGTCGTTATCGTTTAAGATTCCATATTAATGTTTGTAAATGTCCGAATCTTCTGATTGTTGTAAGACACACTGAAAAATTTAGTCGGAAAGGTGAAAGACTTAATGTTAGTAAAAGGACAGCTGTCTAGTGTAAATATTTAACTTTTGTCTACAAATTAAAATAATGTAGATGTTGATATTAATTAATACTAGGATTCTACCACATGACGAATAAGCTTAGATAAGGCAAAGATGAACAGATATATTTTATTTTTCATTGAATTATACATAATAGGAAACATTGCCATCGAGCAGGAGTAGGAAGTATTTTAGACTTCATTTACAGAGCTGATAGTAATTGATCTTTATACGGGGTATTTCAAAACATTTACAAGCGCTATATGAACACTGAATTCAGTTCCATATATTGTGTGTTGGGTTGATAAATCAGGATGAATATGTCAAATCAAATCAACTGAAAAAAAGCTGAAAGGATACATGTATGCCTAAAGCGATCATAAACAATAAAACCTAAATAGCAAGGATCTTTTAAACTTATCGCATTTTCTCGATTCACCCAACTAGGAACTAAACTTACAACGTAATCACAAATTAATAATACAAATAATGATATATTTGTAATGTCTTAATGAGTAAAGTTAGATTTTCTGACGTTTTGCGACTCATGGTAAGCCACTTCTTCAGAAAAATAAATAGATAAACAAATTTAATTAACCCAAGTTTAAACAGTACAAAAGAACATAACAAAAATGTTTAGTACAATCAAATTAACAAGCTTAACTGCCTAAATTCATAGAATAAGATATAAATATTATGAACAACAAAATCAGCTACGAGTTCAGTGGTATTTGATAAAGATAATAATCATATTATCATACACCACAGATTTCATAACACGTACATACTAAAATTAGATTTCTGACAGATTTGCTAGTCACGAGTGATTTACTTGAGATGGTGAAATAGTTTATTTAAATAATAAAAAAGTACTAATTACATCTTCGATTTGACATATCCATTCTTTTTCTTCAAATTGAATTGCTTTTTCATTTCGATATAAAGTAGTGACGAATTCTATGTTCTCCGGCATAGACCAAACATATTTAAATGAATTTGAATTGCCGGAACTTTTAACAGGTTCAAATGACTGGGAAATAAATAAATATAAATATCTTAAAAAGTAGTGATAACGAGTAAAGTCAAAATACATAAATGAGATTGATATGGTCAATTAATTACATTTACAATCAATGGTCTTTTTTAACAATATATTGTTTTTTACGATGAATAGATTTCAGTTATTAGATTGATAAACAACATACCAATACTTATTGGTTGCTCAGATTATAGTACAGACCTGTATAGTATTGGAGTTTTGATTTGTTCAATCTCTGAACAAAACACAGATAAGTTGTTGGCCACCGATTTCTAACCACTCTAGATTTATTAGACATTTTTAGGCAGAAATTAACAAATCCGTCGTATTTTGGCAAGTTCTTATATTTTGAAAAAAAAACTGATTAAATTAGAAATCAACATTTTAAGCTGCTGATCGATGAAGCAGAAAAATCTCAAATTTATATTTTAACTCATACTGCTACGTGGTGTGAATAACTTTACTGAATAATTTATTACCTTTGTAGTGATCACCACATATCACTTATCTGCTTTTTCGCTATAATTCTAAATTGAATAAAGATTTGTATTTTTTTTAAGTAATAATATTCCCGCGGCTCAGTGATACATAAAGTACTAGGGGAGCATTCGAGTTTTCTATTACTATAATCCACTAGAGCCTACCTACTCGGTGTGATGTTTGCGTTATCTTAAAGTACCTTTTTTTACGTGGATCTAAACTACTATCCAGCTTTAACTAAAGATTGTTCAAGTTTTGACTTGAAAGTCATCTATCAAGTTTGCACACTGTGAAACTCAAATACATGAGTGTAGGAAAACTACTAATCCCATCAGTAAGTTATTTCATCGCAGTGGCCCGTCCTTACATTCCATACACGATTAATTCTATGTAAAAAAAGCTTTTCGGGTTGAACATCCTGGTATTTATGATGTGGTCTAAACCCAACTACTACTGAAAAAGCTTGGCACATAAGAATATAACGTGTGTATGGATTTTATACTTCCGAAGAATACTTATGATTGCCACATTTAATGATAAGTTAAAATTTTTATGGACAACTTTTGTTGAGTATTTGATATCAGTGCTTTTAAAAGTTGAAGCCTTCTCATGATGATCGCAAGATATACATAAACTGGTAAGGTTCAAAGAGAAATTGAAAGACTTAAAGTCAATACAATAACCTCGAATCAATTTAAATGACGAGATTTTATTTGTGAATTTAACGATGCACAATTCTATAGTTTGCCGAACAAGATCTTAAAATGATAAAAAAGATGGCGACAACAGGACTTCAATGCCTCATCAACCTCGAACATGACACATCTATGGCAGCAAGTAGATCAAGAACATATTTAGGTGTGGTCCATACTGCTAATTTTGTTCAAGTTTTCTTTAACTTGAAGCCTAAAGACAAACCTATTTTTCACTTAAAGCATTCAATCTCCTATGCAAAAATGGTGACTGCTATTCATGAACGCGATAGATCAGCTTTAATAAATGAATTCGGCTATTTATTTACTCTGAAGAAGTGGCTTATGTTAAATCACAAATACATTTTTTCTACTCATTGAGATATAACGAACACATATTTACTATCAACTCTCTACCCAATGCTCAATTTATTTGAAACTACCAAGTCCAACCTTGGCATTTATACCTATAATATCACTGACTATAACAGTCGAGGGCGTAAAGAAAATGTTTTAGTAACTGCAGTTTAAGCGACTAACCACACTTTTCCTGATCCAGCTTTGAACGCGTGGAAATTTGATTGGATGGCATGAAAAAAAGTGTAATCTCAGGTAATGTTTGTTACTCTATTGAAAAACTTCAAAACTATGAACATTAAATTAACTTTCTCTAACAGAAATAATATTTGGTTGGAAGATTACAACTGTTGTTGATGCAATCAAACCTAAACAGATCTATAAAGCAACAAGTGAAATTGTTATAGCGCAGCGAAACGAGGAGATTCATACGTTAATGATTCTCGTTATTCGCCTCCGATATCGATAGTTTTCCATGAATGTTATTTTGAAAAATCATCCATCTTCACTTTTTTTCAGATTTGTTGTGAGGAATCTCCGAAAATTTTAAGCAGTCAGAACTGAAAATATTTATAGATGGCTCACTACAAACCTTAAAATAAGGTAGGACAGTAGGTAAATAGAAATATAACTACTAAAATACTGAAAAAATTTGAATTGATAGGTTTTCCAATTTTAGATAAGTAAAGCTTTCCAATAGCCCTACTAGGTTTCCATCTTACATAATAAAAATATATCGGTACGTAATATAACTTCAATAACATGTGGATTCAGCATCTAGAAAAATCTCTTATCTGGAAAACGATGTTTCACCCATCTGCAAACTTAAATTATGGTATTAATGTCCTTTTATAGAGACTGGTGGTGAAATCCTAGTGATCATATTACAACTACAGAAATCACCTTCAGCTCAGTTTCGAGGGAAGTGAAACTTTCAGATAGATATTATTCATTACCGGAGCCTCAAATCAATGAAACAAGATGATAACTAAGCTATTCGATATTACGAACTGCTAAAATGAACACATTCAACTAGACCACACAAAACGTATTCAGTGGTATTTCAAAACTCATTCACAAATTAGAATGTGAATTCCCTTTAAACAGAATTTAGTACAACAGATCATTACTTGAGTGATCGAAGCTTCGATTTTCTTTGGATTTATTTGAAAATTTTCAACTAATAGATAAGACATCTAACAACAAATAACTAACATTGAAGACAGTTTTTACTTCTGTGTACTTGGACAGCTTATTGGCTTGGGACACATAGTGTGTACAGATTACCGTTCGTTTTAATTCCGTCGACCGGAGTTGAAGCTCACTAGACAAATAATATATTTGTTACATAGCAAAATGACCATTAACAAATAAATTAATTTCAAAATAAAATACAAAAACTAAAACTAGTTGATGATGAATATATGATTTACTTTGGAAGAATATCGCCGACTGCGACGAGACCAAACAACTACTAAGTTTCCGGGGCTGTATTGACGTGAGCATTCAATATTCAGCTCATGCAAAGAAGCAGTGATCTGAAATTTCGCTGCTTTTTTTCCAACCCTTTGAAGTCTGCGCCAGACACTCATTGATAGATGTATATTATTTATTATCTGGAATTATATGAAGAATCTACTTACTTTTATGAAAAAATGTGATAATTACAATTCAACTCATTAATTACAGTTTGTTGTACCTGTTTAACTAAACCGAAGTAGGATAGGAGGGGTTTGAACTTCCAATTTAAGAATAAAAACGTGATATGAACATATGTGTACAAAAATATGTACTTCCTTATCTAATATTTTAGGTAATTGTTTGTGAACTACCGCGCTTAAACCCAAAATATTCACTTCAATTTACGAAATTGAGTAATATCATGACAATACACAACCGATCTACTTTACAAAGAAAGTCCTTGCTTGTGCTACAATTGGCGTAAAGTGGCAAAAACTGAGTAAGTTTTTAGTATATGTCGAAAATTTTATAGTCACAAGGATAAACGAATAATGCACAGTTTGAGAGCGACTGAAATAACGCTAGTGAAATGTCTAAATCGAAGTCGATGTTCTAAGACAAGAACACCGAATTATTACCAACACACCCAAACACATATTGAAAGACATTGGCATTACATACGCCGAATGCAAGCAGTTCTTATGAGAAAACAAGAACCGAACATAAAGAGCTGTTAAAAACTCTCAATCTATAGGCTTCAGGTTTTACAAATACAGAACCACTCTCGCTGGTGCATTGAGTACTTGATCTTTTAAAGAGGAACAAGTAACACTACAGGGTCCAAAATGACAGTCAGACTAGAACCTACAGGGTTTTCTCAAGTTTGCTAATTTCGGGATTCATTAAAACTAATATCCAAATACTTATCTAAACCAGAAACAAGCTGAAAGCCAGTTAGACCATCCCTTAGAGTGTCTCACAGATTGTTCTAGTCTCCAAAACTTAGAGATCAGTCTTTTTTCTTTTTCAGAAACGCTTCCACAAAGTTAATTTTTTAACACCTTTAATTAGTTGGAACAGTTGTCTCATGTTAACTATCACCTTTAACTTTTCTACCTTTAGCTCTCGTTGCACATCACTACTCACAAACATTGCACATTTAGTTAGTATGAATAGTATTTTCATTAAATATCATCATTTCATTTTATTTGTACGTAGTGGTGGTGTGGATCTGATGCCTGGAGAACGACTTCTCTACCTTGAGTATGCGGATGATATTGTCTTACTGTGCGATGATACTCAAGGTATGCCATCCGCGCTTAATCAGTTGGCAATTAATGTCCATAGTTACGGTATGTGCTTTGCACCTTCGAAGTGCAAAGCACTCCTACAAGACTGGCAGGACCCTGATCCTGTACTCACCCTGGGTGGTCAGTAAATAAAAGTAGTCGAGAAGTTCGTGTATCTAGGTAGCTATATAAGTGTTAGCGGTGGCGTGAGTGATGAGATAAATCCACGTATAGTGAAAGCCAGAGCGGCTTATGCCAATCTGGGCCATCATTGGCGCCTTTGTGATGTTAGTCTGGCTGTAAAAGTTCGGATCTACAACGCGTCAGTGAGAGCAGTTTTGCTGTATGCTTGTGAAACCTGGCCTCTCCGAGTTGAGGATGTTAGACGACTCTCTGTGTTTGATCATCGTTATCTCCGAAGGATTGCTGACACCCAGTGGCAACACCATGTTAGTAATGCAGAGGTTCGGCATCGTATGTTCGGGCGCGATAACGACAACACAATGTGTCACCATCTTGAAACATTTACTTCGGTGGTTTGAAAGTGTTCTACGAATGTCGTCCCAGGGAATTCCTCAGCGTGCATTATTTGCCGACGCTAGGATTGGTTGTAAAAAGCGGAGAAGTGGTCAGTGTATGACATGGTGTCGTGGTATAAAAGAATGCTGCAGAGGGTTGGCTTCTGTTGGTCCTTCACGACTCCCTGGTTGGTGTCCGAGAGATGGTGCAACACTGGCTAGAGACGTCATCAGATATGGCTCAGCATAGAAGCCAGTGGCGATCCTGCAGTAACCTTTTACTTTCTTCATAAAAAGTGATTATAACTGAAAGAGTTCTGATTGTATATTTCTGTTTCCCCGATTATTACTTTTATTATTACACTAACATACACAAATCTGTGGTTGTAATTGTTCATTTCTTTTTTTTCTCATACGCACCTTACTTTTTTTTCTTCCCATTTTCATTGCTTTGTTTGGCGTATATATATCTGGTGCCCCCTTATACCAATATTTGTGTTCAAATAAATAAATAAAATAAGTAGTGTACATTTATGTTGTCGCAAGCTTGGTTGTATGAGCTTGCAAGCATGTAGCAACTGAGTAGTTTCTAAAATTCACTGTTCTTTTTGAACTTTTCAGTTTAGTTCTTTGACATACAGTATACGATATTTACAACTTTTCGGATATTTACTGCCAGATTAATTGATGTGCCATCTTAACCTAAAACCCTGTCACTAAACCAGGGATTCCTTACTAGGTGGTCAAAAGACAAGAGCAATTCTTCGAAGGCATCCATGATCGTGTACTGGTAGCCTACTAATATCCTTCATTCTTAATGGGCATACTTTACACCCGCAAAGTAGAGCGGAGCGAACTGCTGTGCATTGAACTTGCTCTTTGTTTAGGAGATAGATATCTCGCCTACTCTACAGGTGACACAAGTTGCCAAAAGCCAACCGAGCTTTTTAAATTCGTGTTGAGATTTCATCAGTCAGAAGCTCATCAGGACTCTACTTTCTTGTTGCATTGGTCAGGGTTGCTTATCGTTATAACCAACGGAACGATATCGATAAGACTGTAGCAACACCCAGCAGATCAGTCGGTAAGTGTAACAACCAAAACATTTGAAGTTTGTTGGTGAAGTGATACGGCTGACTTTGTGAAGAGTGGTGATAATATGTTTCCCGAAGATATCTACAGTTCCCAGTAATACTGCCTTACCCCAACCAAGAGAGGGATTTGATAAAGGACTCTAAACACAGTGCACATTTTGAGCCAAAGAAACACCCTGATCTCATATATATTGAGGAGTCAGAAAAGACCAGGTGAAATCTATTACTTGAGATCTGTAGTTGTGCACAGAATAAAGACCTTCCCGAATCCTTCAAGAAAAAACACCATTTGCATCGAATGCTAGACCAACACATATGCAAACCTACTAAAGACTTTTAATATGAATATCACTTATTTATTTATTTAAACACATATATATTGGTACAAGAGGGCACCAGGTACATATGCGCCACACAAAATAATGAAAGTAGGAAGAGAAGGGATGAAAAGATAAGGCGGACTAAAATGTACAACCAGAAGACTTTCAAAAAGGAAAGTAAGAACCATACTTTATGCAGAAAGTAAAAGAAGGTTGCAGCAGGATCGCCACTGGTTTCTATTCTGAGCCATATCTGATAACGTCTCTAGCCACTGTGTTGCACCATCTCTCGGACCCCAACCAAGGAGTCGTGAAGGACCAACAGAAGCCAGCCCTTTGCAGCTTTCTTTCATGCCACGACACCATGTCATACACTGACCTCCTCTCCGCTTTTTCCAACCAGTCCCAGGGTCGGCAAATAATGCACGCTGAGGAATTCCCTGGGACGACATTCGTAGAACACTTTCAAACCACCGAAGTAAATGTTTCAAGATGGTGACACATTGTGTTGTCGTTATCGCGCCCGAACATACGATGCCGAACCTCTGCATTACTAACATGGTGTTGCCACTGGGTGTCAGCAATCCTTCGGAGACAACGATGATCGAACACAGAGAGTCGTCTAACATCCTCAACTCGGAGAGGCCAGGTTTCACAAGCATAGAGCAAAACTGCTCTCACCGACGCGTTGAAAATCCGACTTTTTACAGCCAGACTAACATCACGAAGGCGCCAAAGATGGCCCAGATTGGCATAAGCCGATCTGGCTTTCCTTATACGTGCATCAATCTCATCACTCACGCCACCACCAGCACTTATATAGCTACCTAGATACACGAACTTCTCAACTACTTCGATCTCCTCACCATCCAGGGTGAGTACAGGATTAGAATCCTGCCAGTCTTGTAGAAGTACTTTGCACTTGGAGGGTGCAAAGCACATGCCGTACCTGCGGACACTGATTGCCAACTGATTAAGTGCGGATTGCATGCCTTGGGCATTATCGCACAGTAAGACAATATCATCCGCATACTCAAGGTCGAGAAGTCGTTCTCTAGCCAACATATCCACACCGCCATTACTTACATCCATCAGAGCTGTTTCCAAGATGTCGTCGATGGCAAAGTAGAAGAGGAATGGTGAGATCGGGCAACCCTGCCTCACCCCACTGCTCGAATGGAACAAGGGAGAAAGGTGGTTGTATGCCCTCACTCTGCCTGAGGTGTTCGTGTACAGGGCCTTTAAGATGTTAATGAACTTCTCAGGCACACCCTTCTTCAATAGACAATCCCAGAGAACAGTCCTGTCCAACGAATCAAAGGCGGCCGTGATGTCAAGAAACACTACGATTGTTGGCCTGCGATAAGTATGACGGTGTTCTAACATTTGGCGGAGGGTGAAGATGTGATCAATGCATCCTCGACCAGAACGAAAACCAGCCTGCTCCTCGCGAGTCAATCGTTCTCAGGTTTTAAACAACCTACGAAGAATGATAGAAGCCAATAGTTTGGACGCAATCGGAAGTAGACTTATCCCCCGATAGTTATTGCAGGAACAACGCGAACCCTTTTTAAAGATAGGGACGACTATTGACTCATTCCATGATGTTGGAACACTTTCTTGCTCCCAAACCTTTCCAAACAACACAGTCAATTCCTTAGTCAGAAAGTCGCCACCATCTTTAAAAAGAGCCGGAGGTAAGTCATCTGGGCCCGGTGATTTGTAGCGCTTCAAGAGTTGGAGTTCCTTGCGGAATTCCGCCTCGTTTGGTGGATCAGTCGTCACCGGCCATGGGGGGCAGGACAAGCTGGTTGATGTTGCCGGAGCAGCAGGCCAGTTGAACTGCCCTTCGAAAAATTCCGCCCATCGTCCAAGACGTCGGGAGATGTTAGTGATTGGCATCCCATCATCCTCGTAGATTGTTTCACTCACACCAGACTTCTTGCTGCCAGTGGCTCGGATGAGTTGGAAGAGCTTCCGGCAGTTACCAGATGCAGCTGCTGCTTCCATCTCATTAGCACGCTCCGACCACCAGGCTTCCCGGTCCTTACACAAGCTTTGCCCGATTTCATTACGTAACAGCCTTCGTTTGTGGTCAAACTCACGGTCACCCGGAGTAGACCGACGGGCTTCCATCAGTTGTAAGGAGCCAGAAGAAACCCAGTGCTTGTAAGCGGGACGTTTCGCGAAGCCGCAAGCGGCTTTACTCGCCATTTTCATGGCGTCGTGAAGATGCAACCAATGCTCATCTATACTTTTCGGTGGGGTGTTAGCTAGCCTAGAGGCTAGCTCCGCTCGGTACTTACTTGCAACAGGAGTTGCAGCCAGTTTACTAATATCAATCCGTTGGTGGTGGTCAATCCTTCGGCCACTGAAAAGTAAGGTGAGATTGGCGCAGACCAGGGCATGATCAGACTCCAGATAGGTACTCCAAAAGGAGCGGCAGTTTTGTACACAACCACGCCAGCGGTAGCTGATCGCGATGTGATCAATCTGAGTCCAGGCTTGGGATGCAGAGGGAGGACGCCAGGTGGCACACCGGCGATGACTGTGCCGGAAGTTAGTGCTGGCCAGAAACAGGTTGTGGTCTGTGCACAGTTGCAGCAAACGGTCCCCGTTATCTGTCCTGCGACCAACAAGTCCCCATCGGCCACCTAGACGACTCACTTCTGTGCCTAGACGCCCGACCTGTGCATTCAAGTCTCCGGCTAGTACTACAATATCTGTCGAACGCGCTTTCTGGAGAAGAACAGTTAACTGGTGGTAAAACTCATCCTTGATTGCATCCGGGCTGCAATCTGTCGGGGCATAGGCGGAGATGACGAAAAGACACCGTTTCTCACGCCGGTTTCTTCTCAATTTGATGGAACTTTCTAATCTAACAGCACATAACCGACTGTTAATGGGGAACCAATCGATTAGTGCTGCCTCAGCCCTAGCGCTTAGTGCGACACCAACGCCAGCAAGACCAGACGAGGATGCCACAGGGTCCCCGGATAAGCGCACGTGGAACAAGCTTTTCGAGGCGACAGATGGAGAGCGGATTTGTAGTACTTCACTAGAGTCTTGAATACGGGTCTCGGATAGACAGCAAACATCAACATTAAGACCTTCCAAAGACATAGCCAGCCCTATCTGTTGTCTGATCTGCATTAGTGTGCGAACGTTGAAGGAAGCCAGCTTGAACGGCGTACGTGGTTTCAGAAAGACTGCCTCAGTATTCATAATCGGTGGAAGCATTCACTTTCAACCAGACAGTGACTGGAGATCGTTTAGATAGGACAGATTTTCCACCAAGAGCGAGCTGATGCATAAGTTGAAGAGTAAGGTTACACAAATTGGGGGTAAAAGGGGGTGAATTAGCGATATGGTAAGTAATAATAATAATAATAATAATAATAATAATAATAATAATAATAATAATAATGATAATAATAACGTAAATTGTCTTGCTTATAATATGAGCAGGAATAGAATCGTCAATAGAGTTCGTCATTTCATTCATTTGTGTGTGGGCTGTGATACTGCCCGGGTGCCCAAACCGAAGCAGGTGGTTTTCTTAGGGGGCCACACCCGGAGCCTTTGACCTAAAGGTCTGATCCACAAGGCAGTGGAGCATCGTGAGGAGATGCAGTCCCATGGTAGTCGTTGACCAATGACAGGTTCTTCCGCCATTCGTTCCATCAGGAAACTGGAGCCCATGTGCACCATTGGTTTGGAATCAGGGTTTTCCAACTCCCCTAGGTGGACCCTCCGTGTCCACCAATCCGGTTATAGCGCCGGACATTCGCTTTTCGTCCTCTCACTTTCGTAAACAACACCCCCGCCACGAGAAGGCAGTGAGTAGGACTTCCCTGGCAGAGGCTATATATTCGCTGGCCATATGAGAGCATTTCGAGGGGGAGAGTAGACTCTCCCCACTCTCGGCCGTACCAGGGCATTTGGTATATATCACTACTCAAGCCAAAAATTAGGGAAAACTGTCAACCAAATATGGTTTGTTCCTAAGCATTTGTTTTACTCAAACAATAAACAATAATGCATGCAAAATTACGTTATCGACGGCGAATGATAACTCTGAGGGCACTTCATCAACCTACATGCGACACAGAAAACTGATGAAAAATATCTGTTGTCGAACTTTTGCATTGCACTTTTCAGGAAGACGCATGTGTGTAGCAAAATATACTTAGTGAAGTATGAGGAAGTGCTTATGTGTGATATTTACAGGGAAAATAAAAGTGCGTTCACTGATCATTTAAATTCCAAGCTGTAGGGATACGTGATACATGAAATTGGTATAAATTAGATTCTTGAATGAGAAATATTTGGAGACATCTCTTGTCTTCAAAATTAGCGTGTGGTCAAATACGACTGAACTAAATAGTTCTATTTAAGGATGAAGAATTCTACTGAATAAATATACAACGCAGATATATCTATCATGACATTACTACCTAATTTGGAGATAGATCAAAATATGGAGTGATTAAAGTGGAACTCTCCGTTGAGGCTGCGTATTTTAAGGTCTGAGAGGAAAATACTTCGGTAAATTTCTATGTAATACTCAAGCACTAAGACCGAGTTAGTAGCAAACCCTGGGTAAACAATAATAGATAACGCCATAAGTTTAGTAAACACCCACCTAACGCTCTTAATGTTTCTATATAAAAACACCTGTAATGATTTTAGTCAACTGACCCTTTGACTCTCTATCAAGACTTGATTTGTTTATGAAAGCGTTTGCTAAGCGAGATGACTTTACCTCTCTAGGTGAGGACTTACAGACGTTGACAACTAAATGGGTAAACACGGCTACCTAGATTCACTCAATTGTGGTTTTTGTATCCTCCACGATGGCGAGAGAGATGATGAAATCATACACGAGAAGCGACGGAGAATAAACGAGGAAGTAAGGCTAACAGCCATAGAATCAATCATTTTCTAAGCAACTACCAACATTCGCATTAAGGAATCATAGGCTAGAAATCCTCTACATAGTATATGGTATCCACACAACCCGTAGTCGAGCAACCAATGTGGGGAATTAAAGACGTAAAAGGATAAATAAATGGAAAATTTTGTTTATAAATGAGGGGAAATATCAGGGAAACACCATAAAGTCTCCATTTTTGCTCGTCACGGGAAAATAATGCGGTATTTCCGCTTTTAGTCACTCTATATTTAAAAAATCGTCAGATTGTTTACATCTCGCTTGATTACACAGTTTATTGTCCACCTTTCGTCTGGCCACAAATGTCTCACATTCATTTCCATAACAAACCACACGACAACTGCAATCGACTACATTAAAAAAATGACGAACGGTTGAAGACATTTACTGACACGAAATAACATGTTTTACAAGGAGATAAACAACAGACAGATGTTTTTAAGTCTTTCGTGCTAGATATCTATCCATAGACTGATAAGTTTCTTCATCCCACCCACGTATACCACGTGCATTGGGTCCATGGGAAATCATATTTTTGGCAAGGCTCTAAAAATTGGAACGCACTTATTGGTGAATTGGCTGGCTCTGCTGACGAAAACTGTCGTCAGACTACAGTATGTCGTCGTAAATGACATTGGAACTTCGCACTCACAACAAAAAGAATACGCAACAATCGTTTCTCGATCTTCTGTCTGTTATTTATCTCCTTGTAAAACATGTTATTTCGTGTCAGTAAATGTCTTCAACCGTTCGTCATTTTTTTAATGTAGTCGATTGCGGTTGTCGTGTGGTTTGTTATGGAAATGAAGGTGAGACATTTTTGGTCAGGCGAAAGGTGAACAATAAACTGTGTAATCAAGCGAGATGTAAACAATCTGACAAAATTTCTTCTTTTTTGTTTTTATTCTCAACACTATTGACTGTCTATTTAAGTGCATTCAAAAACGGCCAAATGAGGTGACATCAACTAATAAAACTATGCACACTTGAACTCGTTTGTCAACAGACAAATTTTTTAATAATGGTGCTTTAACATGACATAATAGCGGTTAGATACAATAGAGACTAGCTTATGATTGGTGAATAACACGTACTAACACAATAGTAAAACACGGCCGAAAAAATGAGAGACGAAAAACAAAATACGATAACATTGTTCAATGCGGCTTACAATGAGCAATATCTCAGGATGAACCACCTGAAACAAGCCCTGTTACAAGGAACGAAAACCCCCGCCGCATTTCAATGTCGCGCAATCCAATATCCAATTTCATGTACACGAGCTAATTAAAAAAGCAATCGATTCCTTTGCTCTCGCTTCTTATACTTCCGTTACGACTACACGCACTTACAAATGTCCAATGTCTCGTGGTTTAACCACTACATTGCACTTATCCTAGTCACATTAGTAGTTATTTGTGGTTTGGTACATCGTGTCGTTTCAGTGAGTGCGTATGTCTCAAAGTGTATGGATCGTCGAGACTAGCAGCTATCACCGGAGGTTGATTGATTGAAATGTGTAGATAGCAAGGTGATGATTCGATTGCTTGTGGGATACGATCGTTCCAAGAATAACAAATAAGTTAATTGATTGTAAATGTGGGGCTTTTGTCACTTCATGACAAGAAATTCTGATGGGCTTTTTCGATTCACGTCTATTTTTGTCAGGCACTTTCGAAATTCAAGTGAATCATTTCCGCCTTTTACGGGAATTTGGGTTACCTCGTTGTCTTAATAGATTAAAGCTGCTGAGAAAACATTGTATGAACCGTCATTAATAGGATTAGATAGAGCAGTTGACCCATGATTGATGGCTTTGAGTCTCTCGTCGTTGAGAAGCATCAGCTCGAATGTACACAATTTACTCTAATAGATAACATAATGTTCTTTATTTAGTTTTGGATCAGTGGACCTTATCTTTGCCATCTTTAATATAGGAAGTACGTTTGATAATATATACACGTTCTTTAGCAAAGTACATGAATGCAACATGAACCGGTGAAAAACGTTTCCTGATGTTTGTGCAGTTGTTACTTTCGGTGATGGGATTGTACACTCATGACTGGTCATTCCCGAACTGTTGTTTGGAGTCATCGCGTACGTATTCTTAACCGCGTTTTCCTTGATATGTTTAATGTACAGATACTTGGAGTAACGCATACAGACGTCAGCAATCTGAATCTTTCCTATACTTTTCTGTAATATTTATAAGATTTTGAATTATAGTATGAACTAATGGTCCCCTCAATAACGCACTTTAATCAGAAAGTATTAGATGAGCCCGAACGAACGAATGTACTGTATTTGGAATTCAAAATCAAAACAGTCATCAATACAAGGGAATTATTGTTTCATTCAAACACCACACCCTCCACAGCTCAAATTGAAGTGTGTGTCTGAAATCGATTGTAGGTTTTCTTAAGTTCACCTTACATCTGTCCGAGAATGTATTGGATGTAGACTCTGTTTTATCTAGAATGCACTCGTTATTATTAGAATTAACAACCGAAATTGGAACGGCCTCACTTGCGTTCTGGAATAGTATACAATCATCGTGTCGGTTGTGTAGTGAAACCACTGATATTTAAAATTTGCATCATGAACTTCCCAACACTACCCTCCACCACAAAATAATGCTGGGTACTTACGTCGCAATGTTATAACCAATTTGACGTTCCCAATTTGCATTAGCTTCTCAAATCGCACGCTTCGATTACTGTATGTGAGTATTTGGGGTTACACACTAATATATAATTTGAGGTATTCCATCATGTGAATTCGACTTGAATAAAAATTATGATACACATTCGTTTTTTTATTCATATTAGAATACCCAGATAGATATGCATTGACATATGTAATTACCACATGTGGTTCATCTAGGCTTGATTGACCTGCGAAAAAATCGAATGGAAAATATGCATCTGCCTCATACTCATGAGGATAATCTTGGTCTTGATTTGGATTCTCTGCCTGTGCAAACTCCATATCAGGGCGAACTGCTTCTCCGGTTGCTTCGAGAAAACTTGCTATTCCCTCTGATTCATTATACCACTGAGTAGGGATTCTACTCAACATACATTGTTCGTGAGAATATCCAACATCCGATACAATAACATAAGAAATGTGAATAGAATTCCACTCGTTCGGAACATATTTGTCCCATTCATTAGGAATATCACTAGCGATAAATTCATTGTGAGGAACAATGACACTTGATATGATATCAGAATTTGGTTTTCCAGAAATATTTCTCTAAAATTTATCGAGAGTTTTACTAGAGAATAATGGATCATCAGGGAATTCAGCATCTACCATCTATCAATACAAGGGAATCATTGGTTCATTCAAACACCACACTTTCTTTGAGGACTGTGTGAAGATTAACATGTTTCCATTTTACCGGAAGTTGTTGTTACTCGATTCAGTGTATAAAAAGGCCAGTTTCAGGAGAATTGATGGCATTACACCCTGTTCCATGATGACACTGTTGCTGCTGTTACATTCCGCAGACTTCTGTGAGCTAGGGGACTTTAGCTTTCTGAGTTTTAACCTGGTATTTCCATGTGAACTCCATACTGCTGAGGCAATAGCAAAAATAATTAGATTTTATTAGAAAGGCCAATATTTTTTCCGATCGATAATCCCTTGCATGCATTCTACCAATTCGATCTTCCTCATAACCTATGACTGGTTGTCATGTTTTTAGTTCTCTAATATACTGGCGACTGGCATGGGATTAAAAGTGATGCCAATAATCGTGAACATTTACCGGCACAACAGCTGAGACCGATTGAGATATTATCTAATAACCAAATCACTAACAACTCATAACTGTTAGCTCCGTATCCAAAATTATGCCCGATAACTACATCAATAATATTTACGAGTTTAATTACGACCCATCAACATATGTAACATGTGACACCTTGTTTCGCCGCTACGAAGATATGTCCAATTTTGGTTTCAGAGGTCTAGAAGACTCTTGGAAAGTACATATTATTTTTTGGAAACTCGGCACAGCAGATTTTGAAAAATGTTGCAACATTTTGTTACTTCAAAAAGAAAGAACTTCTTCAGATACTGTCACTAAACCTATTCAGCCTTTTGGTGACAAGCCTTCGATTTTTTAATTCTCGTTATTGATGGATGAAACTGGTGAATGACAAAGAGGACGACTTTCCCATGCATTTCGGAATAATAAATCGAGAGTGTGAGAGGTTTAAATTAAAATCTCTTTCTGAGGCTGGAGAGAGAACAATATATTTGTTATGAATAAGAAAGATAAGTTACACAAGAAATATCACTCCTGCAAGGCTGAGCCATACTTTTCGATGCAGTTGTTGAGTACTTGTCCACACGTTCACCATTGTTGACCTCCTCTCAGTGTTACATGTTGAGAGTGAATCCTCTTAGTGCTTATATGTACAGCTTCAAAGATCGTGTGGTTAAAAACCAATACAACCGCAGGACTAATTCAAATCGTTAATGCTTATACACAGTTTAAAATCTGAAAGTTTGCTGATATTCTTACACGACTTCTACCTTCACACCAACTTAGTTCAGTCCGGTGGTCGAATTAGGTTTCACGTTCAAGCGGTCCTAGTTCCGCCTTAGTTCCAAGACCTCAACATCCACATTATTACACAATAAATCATCAAAAGAGAAATGCAAAGTACCCCCATCTATGTACTGAAATTGTAGTGCACGACATTATGCAAGTTTCTTTCCACTTAAAAAGCACTACTGCAAGAAACGCTACACTGTTTGACATAAAGGGTCTCATTTCAGACAGCAGAATAGTTGCCGGAAATTAAATTTCCGAATGCGGTACAGATCAAACATAAACACATTTAAATATTTTCATGTATTCGCGGTAAATCAACTACATAAAAGGCTAAACACGAAGTTCGCTGAAGTACTGATAAACGGCCATTTGATGAGATTACAATTAGATACTGCTCCTGACATAACCATCCTTTCCAGAACTTCATGAACTATAATGAAAAACCTCAGTTTGCAGTCTACCAGTCTAATTTGGAACGTATGCGACAGAATTGCATGTAAAGAGGAAGAGCAGCGATGTATCACAAACATCATGAATTTGCAGACGATTCCTTGGAAGGCTTGTGGCATTACACCACCACTAAATTAAAGTATCAATTGAATAATGTCAAGGCAGCGTATTTTTCGGCCAAAAATCAGTTCCTTGTGCATCATTACCAAACTTCATGGATGCAGTGAGAGCCCTCCTTATAAAAGCTTGCTAAAGAGCAAAGGCAACGAGGAGAGACAGAACGCGTCTGCAGGGTTGTTGTCCGGTCTAGCTGCTTCGCCGCTCTTGATTTGTCTGCTAACAATGCTGATCTCTCCAGTTGTTGGGGGGTTAAGAATGATTGGGAGGTCCATGGTTGCTGCTTCGATATTGGGTGGGTTCAGTGGAGCTAATGGATTCAATAGGTATTGAAATTCTCTACGTACCTATTTCATTGCCCTTCAGTGTTTAAGAATACTTTTTCTTCCTTGCTTTTCATTAGTCGTTCTGGTCTACGGTAATTTCTAGCGAGCTTATACGTTGTATCATACAATTTTCTCATACTTTTTTCTCTTGCTGCCTCTCCCGCCGTCATAGATAGCCTCCCACATGTCTATGTTTGTCGGTTCTGATGCTCCTCCTCACTTGCTTGTTTACTTCTGTGTATTCGGCTATTGCCTTGGTTTTTTCGCTCTTGTTCGGCTGGTATTAATTGCTGCCTTTTTGTTCCTCTTTTCTTCAATCTTATTTTGTGAACCAACAGTGATCCGTTCATAATGATGGTGTTTCTTGTAGAACTTCCTGACATGTTGAAATCATAGCATCTTTTATTGCTTTCCAGTTGTTCTCCATGGCAGTTCCGTCACTAGTGAGTAGATCGTGAAAGGCCTGGTACCTACTGCTGAGGGCTATCTTTAATTCGTTGAGTCCGTCAGTATTTCGAAGAAAGCCGTACCAAACCTTTGTGATGTTGTCCGCTCCGTTGTCCAATGCTTCCTAAGTTTTTGTTTCATCTTGGCGACCAACAAGTGATGATCTGAGGATATGTCAGCTACTCTCTTGCTTCTCATGTCCTCCATCTGCCTCAGAATTTTGTGTTATTGCAGTATGGTCGACATGTTTCTGTGTAGTGTGATCCGGTAAAGTCCATGTTACTTTGTATATGCGCTTGTGTGAAATTATGGTACCGCCTATGTCCAGATCGTTGAAGGCACGTAGT